ATTCACATCCTCCAGAGAGGACTCTGTCTGGAATTCATGTATATATACCACAGTATGGAACAAATAGCCTACTGGAGCCACACATCAGTTAAACTAAATTCTTAATTTTTCTCCTTTGATTTCTCCTCAAGACACATACTATTATGTGCGTTTTTAATGGCTGCAACATGCCATCATACATGAATATTCTAGATGTCTTCAGCGTAATTTTATACTTGTGTAGGCGTATAAAATGATGCACAAGCACCTCCCCATGATGCACCTCTCCCGAGCAAACACCGTGTCAGCGTCATCCAACCCCAGTAACAGCCCCTATGATTCAGTCAATTCTGCAGTTCCACTGGTCCAAAGCCAAATTATCCCATACTCCACTCATTCCCGTGTACTTAATATTCAAATATATCGGCTGCTGTTTTAATATGACGGTATTTTTTAACTCCTCTTAGTGTTTTGATGCCCCAGATTATGGCCAAAATTCAGTTTTCACAATAAAAAAGGGCTTTTCACCCCCAAGGTTGATACACTTGGAAAGATCAGAATTTCCCACTAGAACTTGAACCTGCAATAACTTTTGTTTGGCCACTTAGGGGCAGCGGAAACCAGCTGTGAACACAAAATATCATCATCTTTTAAAGGTCCAGTGTGTAATATTTAGAATATAATATTTATACATTAGTGTATAATCACCTACACCTACAGCAGCCCAGAACGGACAAACCAAACACTTGCTGTAGTCAGGCTTTTCTTGTTTCTCGAAAGTTAAGCGGTACCAGAGGTTTCTCCTACATGCTTGGAAGGCTGAGCTGTATTCAAATGGTTGCAATCTGCAACTCTACTGCTAGATGGCGCTGAACCTGACACACCGGTACTTTCAGTTGGCGTGGCAAACTTGTTGCAGTAACAGAGCAACATTATAAATTATGTTTCTGGCCACCTGTCTTTTAGCTCTGTGTTTGGTCTCCTGAGGGAAATATTTGACTCTTAAGCAGCTAAATGCTGCACTAGGTTCATCAGTCTCTAATGTCAGGTAATGCAGAGGGTTGTTCGAGCTCTGACAACTGCTGAGTGTGCAGTTAAAAAGATCAGATCTCCTCAGTTTTACTGAGCTTTAGAGCAGGTTTCAGCTCATTATTTAGCTCTCCAGCCCAAGATTTTATTGTTTTGGTTTATCACCAGCGCTCTACAGTGTTATTTTAAGTTGCAGCAGGCAGCTTACTTTACACTACCTGCTCAGCACCGAACAGCTGGTGAACATAATCTAGTATTTAGCAGTAAAATAGCCAAACATTTCCCTCAGGTGTTCTAGAGACCAAAAACAGAGCTAAAAGATAGTGAATATTAGACTTACACTTACCAGTTGGCCAAAAAAAAAGACGGCTCCAAATGAATTAACATATTGGTCCATAAACTCTTGTGGCCAAAAACGGTGCAAAATCAATCATTGCAAGTTCAAAGAAGCTTTGCATAGCATAAAGACAGGCTAGCTGTTCAGGTTAGTTTACAGTCTTTAAGCTAAGCTAAGCTAAGCTAATATAATCGACTATCAGCGAGAAAGGATTAGGCATGTCGTGGCAGTGGCTAAGGTTTGGCTAATTAGGAATGCATTATTTCAGTATGGGCCCTCACAAGTACAAATGTGTGTGTGGGTGTATTCATGTGTGTATTGTGAATAAGACGGCATGTTTTGTAATATGATTATTGGACATAACATAATTTCAGATGCATCAGATAGTTCTGGTATCAGTGCACTATTAATACAATCTTGGTTAAATTTTTAAGATTTAAAATCCTAGTTAAATAACAAGTCATTGCAGTATAATCTTACAATGGTTTTTGGCTTTAATTACAGTTTTGCACCTCCTGTTGACACATTGCCACTGACAAACTGTCACTGATACACTGTCATCCTGTGATCTTAACAGGCTGCGCTAAAACATGATTGATTTAAAAGAAATATCTACCAGTCAGTCAATCTCAGGCAGGAGAGATTTGAGGTTTACCAGGACTCCGGGCTGTAATCCCAGGACTTCTGATGTTACTGTACTTGGCTAGAAGAATCTCTCAGATGTGGGGCATCCCAGTGAATCCGTGGGTTAAGGTGAATACCATGTACTTGTGATGTTGTGGGCTCAAATCTGGCTCCTGGTTCGTCTCATCCTCCCCCCCCCCCTCTCTCTGTCATCTTCCCTGACACTGCTCTGCATACAGCCTAATGAAGCAGAAACGAATCTTAAAGCTTTATATCTGCAGTAGACGGAGCTGTGAAGATGAGATGTTTCCTCCTACGCAGGCAGGCAGACAGGCAGTAGCTCTAGAGACCCGAACACCTCCAACTGGAGCTACTGTAATGCTATGGAATATCTGATTAACTCTCACTGATAGCAAAAAAGGAAGCCTGCAGCCTCCATCTGAGCTGTGGCTTGATATATTTATTCTGTAGATTTATATCCGCAGTTACCATTGTGTGGACTGATGTCAGATATGCAGTCACAAAATCAATAGAATAACAGTGTCTGAGAAATATTTGTGTCCGACCGTTTACAGAATCTCTTTAGTTTACCTATGACAAATTCAAAAAGCTGTTAGGCTGCCATGTTAGTCAGTTCTCGTCCAGTTGACAAGATGGAGCAGAGTTTTATGAGCAGAGTGAGTCAGTTAAAGATGGTTGGAGGAGTGTGCAATCAGAGGAAGCAAAACATCCTCCTCAAAAACACATTATGAACAGCTCCAGCTCCATATATTTACTATCTATATAACACAGTTATTTAAAACATCTTTATAATAAAATGTGACATTTTTGAGAGGTTTTTGATTATTTGATGATACTCAATAATCTTCAACTAAGCTCTTGTTTAATGTATATTAAATCTTAGTACACAGTCATGACTGTATACCAAAACTTAGGTAGTCCTATATACGGGATTTCAGCCAGTATTTTATTGTAAATATTCATGTAACTTTTCTTTTATATTTTCTATATTTGTATTCTGTATCTACATTACGGTCTACAACTGTTGCCTGTATATTGTTATTTATTTCATTTGTGCTTTGAAAACAAATCAGAATTAGCCTAAAAAAATGTGTAATTTGCATGTCATTAAGGGCTGTGGTGTACAAACCTGCTTTCTAGTGCTTAGCTTTAGATTTTGTTTTGTGTTGCTCTATTTTTCTAGAAATGAGTCTCTAACATTACTTCAGATGTTGATGTGGGACACACTGGTTGGATTATGCTTTGAAAAAAGTGAGTAGGGTCAATGAAATGGGTAAACTACATTCTTCACTCTGTATTTAAAGAGACCGTTGTCATTGATACAAATGACCAAAACCAGGGCAGAGATCTGTTATACAGAAGCTGAAATGTTGTATGTCTATAGTGTTGTAACTAACAATTATTCAATTGTCGGCTGATTATGTTCTCAATAAATCAATTGATCGTTTTGTCTATAAAAATGCAGGAAACACTAAAAAAATACACATAATTTTCCAGATCTCAATGTGAAGGATTCAAATAGTTGTTTTATCCAACTAATAGTCTAAAACTTAAAGATCTTAACAGAAATTCCTCACATTTGAAAAGCTAGAACAGGTGACTATCTAGCATTTTTATTTGAAAAATGCCTGAAATAATTTGATTATCAAAATAGTTGCCAGTTACTGACGATCAAGACATGCAAGAATAGTCCAAAACTACTTATATTTTGGATTTAACGTGAGCCTTCTGAAACCTGTGATATTATTTAAGACTTCTGCTTTCACAAAAGTAGATAAGAAACTTCCATTACACATCTGTACTACTTTCTATCTGACAGCAGGGAGATCTCAACTCAAGAGCCAAATAATACAATTTGTTCCATTCTCTATTTGTCACTGAATCAAATTTTTAGATATTTGGGTCTATATCAAGTCAGTCAAACTCCAATCTCAAAGAACCCAACTGGAGGACAAAAAACATTCCTGCAGATGAAAGTGATGTAAAACAGGCTGAAAGTGTTTGAGCCGTCCTCAGGTGGTCGGGCAGAGGACTCTCAGCAGGAGAGCAGCCGAGCAGAAAGCCAAGTCCCCGATTGTGCTCACATAGTGAGTCCTGAGGGCACGGAAGAGCCGGCTGTCGCTTGACCCCGAGGTTACTAATGGATGTTTTTTAGGGAATCCTGACGGCACAGAGGGCTGGCACGAATGCCATGCACGAACTGAACCCAAGGCATTTCTCATTGTCTTTTTAAAAGAAAAAGAAAAAAAAAAAGATATTTCCAAACTGTAACAAGATGTAGGGGATTAAGAGTTTTTACACCTGCCCACTTGTTAACTCACACATCTGCCCACATCAATGGAGCGCTGTAAGACCCCCCAACTGAGGCATATATACATACAGATAGATGGATTCCTCCACACAGAAGTTCAGAGTCTTTATGTCTTTCTAGGTTACCGTAGAAAACAGCCACTCTCCTCCAAAATGATTGTAGCAGTGAAGGATTTCTGGACTAGTGGGACAGTACGATGCTGCACAGCCCCTGATACGGGAGTGTAGATGGAGCGTTATGTAATTAATACTCCTCCTCCTATGCAGATACAGTAGACAAGTCTAAAAATCCTCGCCTCAGCTGTAACAGTAGCCCTGAAATGACTGATACAGCTCATATGCACAGTGTCATTTTAATCACTCTGGCTCCTATATTCCCATACACACCAGCAGCTCTTGACTCAGCTAAAGCCTGTTTGCATAACTGATACTGTAAAACAGGCATCCACTGTAATGTAGGTTTCATACAGTAACACCAAACCCCCTCTACAGCCACGCAGCATGCAGAGAATCTGTCTTTCTCTCAGTCCCCCCCCCCCCCCCCACACACACACACATACACACATATATAAAACATACAGCCCAAAGAAACCCTTGTTTACCTGCTATCCCATAATTCACAGTGCTGCCAAGGACAGGTGACTTGTAAAGCCAATACAGACAGACAGAGAAAAAAAGTGGTGTGCGGGGCTTCTCTTACCAACAAATCCCCCCCTTCTTCAGGAATCCTTCCTTTCCTCTCCCTTCAGCCGGCTTCTTCCAGCGCTCCAGCTTTCATCTCTCCCAGTAAAGAGAGGAGGAAGAGAGGCGGAAAGGACTTTTTAAATCATCAGCATCCCTCTCGCTCCCGTGTGTTTCTCTCTCCGGCTCTCCTCTCTTCCAGATTTCTCCACGGTCTCCGGGGGGGGAAGCAGGAGCATCAGTGATACACTGCCGCGCGCTCCGCTGCAGGAGGCTGAACGTCAATCACGCAGGTAACCTAGGGAACCGCTGGGCCCGCCCCCTTCAGCCGACGCTGATTGGTCGGCGGTACAGAGAACCAGGAGTCACAAGTCCTCGCAGATCCACAGATGGTACACCGAGAGCTGTGGTGGGATCATGTACAGAGCCAAACAAACAGTAGTGGATTGCGGTACTTGTGAACTCTCTTTCTCTCTCTCTCTCTCTCTCCCCTCTCTCTCTCTCTCTCTCTCTCTCTCTCTCTCTCTCTCTCTGACTTAAGAGCCAGCCGCTTTATTTTACAGTTGCTTAGCAACAGACTGGCGTGTGTGTGTGTGTGTGTGTGTGAGAGAGAGAGAGAGAGAGAAAGTGTGTTGCAGAGCAGGAGGAGAGATGTGGGAGAGAGAAAGGAGTTTAAGTCCTCAACTCACTCTCTCTCTCTCTCTCTCTCTCTCTCTCTCTCTCTCTCTCTCTCTCTCTCTCTCTCTGTCAGAGGTGTGGATATGGATGTTGAATATTTCAGCTCTCAGCAGTATCATGGAGGCAGCTAAATGCAGCACAGAGAGTTAGTAAGTTAAGGAAGACAGGAAATTCCACAAAATACAAACATCTCCTCAGTGTGCGTTTGAATGACAGAAAAGTGAAAGCGTTATTTGAGATAAAAAGAAAAAAACAACACATTGAATCTTTAATTGTGGTGCATACAATCTCTCCATCCACCTTGGATGCAGAGCAGTTACAGTTACATAGGAGTGCAAGTGTTTACAGCTGCAGAAAAGTATCACAATGTCCATAGAAACTCCTACAAAACACCTCTGCAACAAAATCCACTTCTCTGCTGCGCATACATAAGCTCAGTATGTATGCAAGACTCATGTTTTCACAAAAACAAATAGGCTTCAGTACACTGTTTCCCCCTGTTAAACCACAATCCCACCGAGCTCTTGCAGCGACTTCTTGCACCTTCACTGGTCGGACCCGCCCCATCCTGACTCAATAATTACATGATTAGTTTTGTAGAGAATTCTGAGATGCATGAAAGAAGGCAGGAGTATTTAAAAAGACCAAAAATTGGTTGTTACTGCAGTGCTGAAGTTGCCACAGTCCTCAGTGTAAACTGATTGTACACACAGGTGTCAGCAGGGGGCAACATTTTCATTGACTAGAGCTAGGGAGGGAATTAAAGAGGTTCAAGAAAGTTTTGAAGGCAGATTAAGGGTTTAATGTTGTTTTTAAGTTAAACTCAACACAAGACTTTCTCAAATGTATTCAGTGAAACAGTGTTTTAAATGTCCAGTGCGTAACATTAAGGAGTATCTATTGTCAGAATATATTATTCATAGTGTGAGAAAAGAATGAAAAAATTAGCCGTTTTTATCTACAGACGCTGCAGGTCTTCACTGGAGGCCACCATGTTGAACCGCCATGTTTCTACAGTAGCACAAAATGGACAATCAAACACTGGCGCTTGATAGAGCACTTTCAGGCTTTCGAGGCGACCATAGTTTCTCGTTCAAACTTGGAGAGTGAGGGTGAAGTGATTGAGCTGTGATCTGCAACTACGCCTCTAGATACCACCAGAACCTACACACTGGACCTTTAAGTGTGTATATTGTGTTCATCCAAAATCAGATTATTAATATTTGGGAGTGTTCTGTTTAACACAAGCTGAATATGGGAAGAAGTACATAAAAAATTGAGTAACTGCCGCAGTAGAAACAGACATTTTATAGACATTTTGTTAGTGTACTGCTGAAATCCGATATCCGAGTATCAGATTTACATGTTTGCAATGTCGATGAGCCGGTTTGTGAAGTGTTTGAGGGAGACACAAGTTTGCCCTCTAGATCTCAACTCATTTAAGAAGAGTTGAGAAAATCATCTCATAGGAGCTGACCTGCTAGGAGCTGTCCTTGTAGAGTCCTGTACTGAAAAAACACTGTACAGCCAGACTTTCCTTTACACAGGTCGCAGCATACTAAATGGTGTGGTGTACACATATCAGAAAATGAGATAAAATTTAAAGAAAGGCTGCTGTCTGAACATTTAAACATACCCGTTTTATCATGCAGGTTCTTGTTGTGATCAAGGGCAGCGTATTGTCTTGCATCTTGCACCGAGTTGTCAGAGTGAATATACTCAATGAGGTCGGGGCCTTTACTGTTAGATGCTTTGGAGTCAGACTTTCCACTGCACAGCTGCAGTCTCGGGGTGCCCACTCAAGGGTGAGAAAACATCAGGCAGTCTGAGAGTTTAAAAGAAACAAAGAACAAGGCATGCTATGAATATTCAAAGGGATAGAAGAAAACATATGGGCAATGTTAGCTTAATGTGGTTGGAGTAGAAAGTACAGAAAACAGAAAAAAGCTTTTTTTTCTGTTTGCTTCACAAAGACTCTCACAGCTCTTGACCACCAGTTTTACTCTCCAAGCTGTGGGAGAACATTCATATCAAGGTTATTATATTTACCCAAAACTTAACTAACAACTAAGTGTGAAAGAAATGTGAGTAAACTGAAATAAAAACACAAACAAACGCTATTATGTACTTACAAAACTAACTAGAATAAATAAAAATATATACAGCAAAGGTTTTTTTGTAGGTTTGTCAGTTTGTTCAAATTTGTACGCATAACAAGCATGAGGTTATAGTGCAGATGTTTACTCAGACTAGGATGTCTATGTGACAGTGAAATCAATGCGTTTGTCTTGTAATACCTATTGTGACAAATATTCCCCATAATATAATGATAAAAAACTAACACTGAAACTAATAAATACTAAACTGAAATAAGCAAACAACCTCTGAAAAAGAACTGAAAAAGAAATAAAAACAAAAACAAATTAAAAACACAAATATATAATAACTCTGATTCATATACAACACAGAATAATGGTAGTTAAAAAATAGGCGGGGTAATGGCTGCTAGGTTTAGAGGGACTCACCGCACCCTTACAACAGAGTCACTGGCATGGATACCAACAAACATACAAGCCAGTAACCCATACAGTAGTTAAGGAACAAACCAAACGTGTTTTACAACCTTTAAATGAACTGACCCTTCTGTTTCATTTAGAGTAAGAAGTGGGGAGTTTGAGGTTTTTGTATTCACAAATCCTCTTTGCAACCTCTTTGTGTTATTCCTATTAATCAAATATTTAACTATACTTCATTTTAGCTTCTTGCAAGCTTTATTGGTTCTTGATAAACAGCTCTGACACCAGATGGAGAGGGAATTGATCTGTGGAGACTGTAACATGGTGTTTCGCTCCACTGGGCTGCTTGAGAAACACAAAGCACTGTTCTGCATTGGGAGTGAGGCAGGGCACCTTCGCGTGCAAAGACACAGCTCTGAGCTTCTTGTGAGAGACAGACCTAGATGTGTGGACCCTAAACAGACGAGAACCCCTGACCTTGTTCAGGTAAGTCATACTCATCTAGTAAAGGACAGCAAGGTCTGAGCGGGTGGATTAAGTGAGCTTGAATTGTGAAAATTGAGGGGGTAATTGCAAAATAAATAAATAAACAAATGCAAAAACTAGTGTGTTTGCATGACAAAACTATATTTCAGACAGATATTTGCACAGTTTTTGCTGCTGCTGGATTGTACAGGTGTAACTTATAAACTGATATTACAGTGTAGAGTTTAATTTTATGTCACTGGCCAATAGAGGAATGGAAGAGGTGAATTAGACCTTTTTATCACTTCACTAGAGTGGAGACTAGAGCTGATTTATGGGATATGTCCATCATTGCAGCGACAGAGACAGATGCAATGGAAAATGCTGCACGTGTCTTTGTGTGTCTTTGCGTGTGCAGCTGAGGGGTCAACGAAGGAACGTTACCAGGTGGACGAGCATTGATGCCAAATCAAAGTCAGCAAGAGCGGAGGACAAACCAGCAACCAGTCAGACAGACAGCGCCGCTCTGCAAAATCTCACAGATGAGGTAAAACTGAACCAACCAGACGTCATCTGTGCTGCACTGCAGCATCTAAAACATATAAAACACAATGACAGAACAAGAAGAATGTATTTATTTATTCCCAGTGATCCACGTTTACCTTAGATACATAAGATAATTCATAAGAACACAACAGGGATGAAGGTGTCAGAGCAACATTGTGTGTATGCACGTTGATTTTAATTGTCATTTTACCGAGCACTGCCGGCATTTCATGGTCTTTGATTAAAAATTCATGTTTGAATATCATTATGTCAGTCAAGACACACAGGAGTAAGTATGGTACTATGTTATCCGGACATACAAATAGACACGTGCAAGCATTTTAAACTAATTTCTATCGAATAAACATTTTAATTGCAAATATCAATATGGAATAAAGAAACATTTCTTTCCTCTGACTTTCAGTTTCACAAGTTGAGGGTGTCCATTGAAGAAAATCTGCCAAACTGGTCAAAAAGGACCACAGATACTGAGGTGGGCTCCATGTTTCTTCTGTCAGCCTTTCGATTGTTCTTGGTGAGCACTTTAAAGTATGTCAAGGTGCACATTTCTTCTATGTAATAAAATCTCTTAAATAATGCATTAAGTCATCCGCCAGCAGTGTCAGAGTGAGTCACAGGTCACAGGTGAAGACGGATACAAGACAAGAGTACTTTTTTATGACGCTGGGTCTCAGGGTGACAAAAGAAATGAATCATTTGGCTCCGGGGTGTAACATGTTTATTATCCAAAGCTGGGCATGAATCTATTCATTTATAAACATGGTCTTTAGGCGAGTGGGCGTCAGCTGGGTCACAGCGAGAGACTGAAGGAGATGAGGGAAATGGCGACGCTCCATGAGCGCCAACTGGCCCTAATACATGCTCACAACCAGCAGCTGGAACAGCAGAGAGACGGTGAGGAACAAATGCAATAAACCGCATGAGTAATCCAAATATCCTCTTCAGCCATTGTGTTTGAGTCTGTGCTGACATTCCTCTCAAATTGACACTGTTAATGTCAAAGACTCTAAAACAGTGTGAATGTGTGTGTGTGTGTGTGTGTGTGTTTGTCAGAGCTGGCCCATCAGGTAAGTGTGCTGTCTGAACAGAGCAACACAAGTCATCTGGAGGGTCTGCTGATGGAGCTCAGAGAGCAGGAGGAGAGAAACGAGGAGACGCTGCAGCAACTGGCTGAACATCTCCATCTATTACAGTAAATATGTGTATTTACAAGTATGTATACTAATGTTAGAGTGTCATATGTCAGCCTTTTAGATGTTCTTTTCAAACTATAGCTGTCAGATAAGTACAGTGAATACTTCCATCTGAAATGTTGGGGAGTAGAAGTATAAAATGTTGAAACATGAGCTAACACATTTTGTGATTTTGGTGTTTTGAGAGGATTTCTTATACTTTAAATTGCACATAAATACAGTACTGGGGTAAATGTACTAACACAGAGAGTGAGTGTTGTTTTCGGGGTGTTGCTCAAAGACACATTAACAGCATAAATGACTGCTGGGAGTTCAGCACTGACTGTTTAATTGGGATCAAACCTGCAACATTTCAGTCTGTAACCACTCACTGTGCTGCCAGAGCCGGTTCGAATTCAACAGAGTTTATTTAATGTGTATTTGTTAGGGTAAATTATGTCAGCATAGATACATGCTAAAAGAAATGCCTGCTTCCATGGCGCTCTGCCTCCAAGATGAATAGTGAAATATATTTTTTTCTAGCTGCCGGATGAGTCAGAGCATCAATTATGTATTTCATTATGTCTGGGTAGTTCCTCATTGCAACATTTGTGGTAGAATAAATTGAATTTCCTATTGTAGGGTGGATCATGACTGGAAAATGTACCATAGATGCAATAATATGATCTAATTTAGATGATATACTGGTTTTCTTTTTAGTGTGCGAGAGGTCTCTGTACCTGCTAAACAGCCAGATCCACACAAGAATAAAAAGATGCATCGTGACAGCTACGAGCTCATTTCTTGTGCAGATGGTCCTCTCTCTACCCAGATAAAGTATGTACCTACATTCTTTAAGAGTCATTTATTTAAAAAAAAACCACTCTATTGGAAGGAAAAACAAGATAGAGGACTGAATAGGAATTAGTTGAACTGAGCTACCTGGTTATATGCAGGTAAATCACGTCTCTCTGTTGCAGAGCTCTGCGGCAGGCATACATGCAGTCAGGTGGGTCAGATCCAGCGATTGTGGCACGAATGATCGACCTGCAGGCAGAAGCCCAAAGTCTGGAGAAGAACCAACCAGCGGCAGCCGGCAAGAGTAAGACTCAGAGTGATGATGTAGTGCTTGTCACTTTATAACCCTCTGTCAACACAGCTGTGCTCAGTGGAGCCTTTATTAAGTTTATTCAGCTTTTTACACTCTAAAAAAAATTATTTCCTCTTACTAGCTCCATGGTTATTAGATTCTGCTCCAACATTTCTTTTCATATGCTTAATTATAGCATCAAAAACATACTGAAAGCCAAAACAAACACCCTGGGGAAGAGTGTTGCATCTAGGGGCAACAAACTGTACACAGTCCAGACTTATGGCATAAAAGCGAGAGTAACTTGGTCCTGAGCCACATCATTGTTGTCCTTGTTGTCCAGAGGTGAAGCCTCCTCAGCGGGGTCCGAGCTGGGAGCTGCTGGCTGTGGAGCATGAGAACCAGAGACTGGAGGAGGAGATCCTCAGGCTCCAGCTGGCCAGGGAGGGACACCATAACTATGAAGGTTGGAGAGTTCTCAAAAATAAATGACAAAGCTCTTTTTCTTTAAAAGTTTCTTACCCAGCCAAGATGAAACAGGGCCCAAAACAACAAACAAAACGATCTTCAGTGTTAACCTCGACACGGGACTTTACATTTATTTACAACAGAGATCTGTCTAATTAAATACATTATCACTAAGCATTTTAAAGTAGGTGCCATCAGCCTCCTGTTCAATCAGCTTCCACTTGTAACTCAACACACTGAGAAAACACAGAACAGATTGAACAGCACCACCCGCAGGCAGGGAGGAGAAACAGCACACACATCACAGTCACGAAAATGCACATTATGGCTCAGGGTCAAAACATACTGTTGTTACCTGGAATAAGTTAAAAGGAAGTACAGTCCAAATTCCAAGCAGTTACATCGTTTTGTCAACATAAAAAATGTATTTTTACATTATTTAGGAATATTGTGATTATTATTTATTGTGTAATATGTTGCTTGTGTATTATACTGCTGACACTGAGCAGTTTTAACCATGTTGTACTGAAAACAGAAATTCCAGCAACTCTGGTCATATACAGTAGCCATTAAAGTGAAGTGATTATTATTTTGTATTAGATTATGTAAAAAGAAGATTGTCATTGATGCCAGGAATATATTGGTCACACAGGTCTAGGGTAATTGTCTCTGTACAGAGGATATCTTGCGTTTGTGTGTCCTCTCTCAGCAGTGAGGACCGAGCTTGAGCTGATTCAGAGGGAAAACCTCCTGCAGATTGCCAGTTTGCAGGCACAGTTGGAGAGAAACAAAGAAGCTCCCAGGCCCAGGAGACAGCCTCCTCCTCCGCCTCCTCCTCCTCATCATCTACTCCCACTCCAGCCCAAGACTCACATTCATGCACCTCTTTCACTGGTACATTTACAGTTGTAGTCAGACACTTTTACATGAGAGAACATGGCTTCCAGTAATATAATAGTTGCCTTTAAATTATGTCCTAAATTATTGACAGTGTTTGATTCAGATGCTTTATGTGCCCCTTAGCTCCAGGCCAGATCATTCTCCTCTCCACTGGGAAGATGCATGTTGGACTCCCTGGACTCTCTGGGTCCGGCCCCCTACGATCCTGCGTCAGTTTAATATAAATATACAGAATATAAATTGTTTCAAATAGCCAGTAGCCACATAAACTTTCTAAAAATCACATGAAATGATTCACTGATCTGTCAGTGTCCTCTGTTATTTCAGAGCTGGGTTTGTGGTTTTCTATGATCTGGTTCTGGGGGTTGATGTCTCTCAGAGGGCGCTGCGCCTGGTTGCAGCTCTCTACTCAGAAGGTCAGGAGGTGGGATCACCGACTCCACTGCCCCCTGTGGAGTGCCTGTCAGGAGTATCCCTGCCTTACACCCACAGCCTCACCCCTAGAAACTATGCCCTCCTGTCAGTCAAACAGCCTGTACCCAGGTAGGAGAGGAAGGATTGTATTTATTACTATATACAGCAGGGAAGAGACTTAAAATGTCTGAACTAGGCTTGGTAAATATTGAGAAAGGGGTAAATAATTCAACTTTACATTAGAATTCACTTGGAAAAGGTTAAAAAAAAATCTGCAAAAATACCACGTAGATAACAAAAAATAATAAAAGACGACCCAGAACTATGTGGCCTGAGCTCAACGCCCTAGACGAGTCCTGCTCATAGTATGAAATCGGTATTCAGAAAACTCAGTGTGCTATTATTTCAAGGGGAATGTTTATTTTCCTGAGGAGAAGGAATTGTTATCAGGCAAAAAAAAAAACAAATCTAAAAATCAACATTATGTTAATGTTTCCCCCTGTAGCATCCAGCCGTCACCCTCCCTCTCTTTAGTGGTGGAGGTGCAGACAGCGAGAGACCTGGATGTTCACAGCCAGGAGGTCTTCAAACTGACGTCCTCTGGATGGACACGAATCCAACTCTTTGACCAATTCAACCAGGTATAAAAGCTTTATAGAATTAAATGCTAATATACTGCTGAAAACAGATTGGAAATTAATTATACACTAATCTGTTTTGCCATTGTAATGTTAAAGTGTTTTTAAGTGTTTTCACTATTCAGTTGCACAATAAAGAGACTCAGGCCTCGGCTCAGTTAATATGTTGTTTATTAATCAAAAACCAGTGGTGTATAAAGGCTGTGGGTATAAATAACTTATTTTCAATTTCATTTTCTGCAGAGGTATTGAACAAACTGATTACATCATCTGGTCTAGAACTGGAGTTGAGCTGGAGCACATTGGCTGCCCAATGCTCCCAATACTTAGCATGGGTTGAATGCAGAGGCTTAATTTCACTATGTTGTACTGTGTATGATTATGTAAGCAACAATGAACATGATTTAATATTTTCTCTCCACCACCAGCTCCATAGTGGCCACTGGAGGGTGCCAGTGCGCAGTCTGCCTATTAGACCCTCATTAAGCCTTACCCAGCTCAACTCAGTACCCCAGGTATAAAGATCCCAAGAGTTTGTAAAATGTAAGAAGGGGTTTTGGGCAAAGGGTTAAGTGAGGTCGTATATTACACACCTGACTGCACTGTATGTGTCACTGTAAACTCAAGGTGGGCAGCATGGAGCTGTGTGTGCGTTTGATCAACGGACGAGATGGAGAAGTACAGACTCTGGCAAAGCCTGACCCGACCAGCACCAGTCACTATAAATATCCAACTGTGGTAGGATGTTAAACAGATCAAAGTAAAAAACTAACTAATAAATGAATTCTATGTAAGATGATTGAGTGTAATTGTTTAAATGGAGTTGTTAGATATAAGGCTCTAAACTTAACACCCTCTGATCTAACCTTAATCCATTCGTGTGACTTTGTCAATAGGCTGTGACTGTTATATAATCCATGGTGAATGCTGTATACAGTTGCCAATATGAGCAGACCATAAGTTCCTGTCCACATAAGGACAAATTAACATTGAAAATTATCTCCTGTGGACGTTTTGTTCTTGTACTGGAGGTGACTATGTCTCATTTATAAACAAGCTTGAACGTGGTGCTGTTGGTTTGTGCTTTGTCTCAATACAGGCGTCTTCACATCCTGTGACTGTCCACGGAAATGCAGCTTTGCCAGTTTCAGTTGATCCACATCCCACGCAACTGTCCTCCCTTTTGCCCTTCACTGATCACCAAGACCCTCCACCCACAGAGGCAGCCAGGCAGAGCTGAAAATCTACAACCAGGATGCAACATCTTAAACGTTGGGCTCTTTTAAAACTGATTGTGTGGAAGTGTAAATGAGGACTCTCTTCTAAAGACAATAAAAAGGCATTACTTTCCTTTTGTTACAGTTGAAATATAGATTGTGAGTACTTTGTTAGAAAACAATGCAGATGATTTAAACAATGTCCACTTTTATATTTAAATAGTCCATTGAAAAAAGTGCCAGACGTTTGTTAAAAATCGGTGCTACAATTAAACAATGAAATTCAGATTCTCAATCATTTGGTCTATACAAGATCAGGAATAGTGTTCGCAGGTCCCAGATCTCATGGTGACAATTCTGTCATCCACTAATCATTGCAGGTCTATACAATGGTTTGCAACACTGGTTGCTAGGTTGGTGTAAATAAGGGTTTCATCCTTTTCCCTCTAAAAAACAGAAACTGAGTATCTAGTGTTTGTCCTCGTAGCAGTTCTGTGAAGTTTTAAGTTCCCTGAAAGTCTAAAGAATTTGGCGATTCCAACTTACATCTGCAAATGTTTTATTCTTTTACTACAAGTATACAAAACTTGACAGACAAATCTATGAAAATGGGTCTTATTTACAAAAACAAAAGTGTTGAAGGTGGAGAGGGACTGGACAGGCATGCTGTGCTGGTTTTGTTGATCAGGAGAGAGACGGCGACAGTCACGCTGAAGACTCGACAGAGGATGACTGGTTGGCAGGCTACAGGGAGCAAAGAACAAAAAAAACACTTTAACAGAAGGAATCAGATATTCTGCCTGCATATCATACGGATAGTCTCAGAAGACGCTTTCAGATTGCTGGTTGTTGTGTATGGCTCTTGTTAAAGAGCGCCCACTGCTGCAGTTTTATCTACTAATAGAACGACAACGTTTATAGAAAAATGTTTCAAGCAACTTTTCAAGCAATTCAAACAGTTCTAACTTCAAACTACAGCAACAGCTGATGCTGGATGTCTAGTTAGAAGCTCTGAGTGGACGGTATTGTTTACTTGTGCAAGATAAAAAGCCACTTCACAAGAAATATTGGAGAAGTGATTCAACAAAGACACAGCTGTTAAGTCTGGTCATGTTTATGCCTTTTCATGTCTGGACTTGCAACTAGCCAAAGACATCAGTATCATGTTTGACTGAAGCATCAAGTTACACAAGATTCCTCCAGACTTCCTTGCAGGCATTCATGTAGTTCTGCTTAGGCTTGAGGGCAATTTCCTCCGTACAAGCGCGTAAGCTTTCGTGGAGGTTGAAACGACCTCAACCAAAATTAAGATATGACTGAAACACCACCAGAACCATTTGCAAGTAGGCTCTACTGTATGTTCAGCCATCCATCCATCTTAAGCAGGGTAATCGCAGCACAATCTTTTCAGAGTGTCGTCCTGCAAACGTATCGCTACATAAGACAGAAGCCCATCACTCGCCTCCTGTGATTTTCCCTCCTGGACTCCATTGCCGTTGCTGGCACTAGAGTCACCGCTGCCATTAACTGAGGCTTCCTGTTTCGCTTGTTTAGCATCAGTGTCCTTCACTGGGCTCTCCTCTTCTGGTTTCCTCTGTGCAGAAACATAAAACCAGGTCAAAGGGAGGGGGGGGGGAGAGAAGACTCAACGCTTCTGTACGCCATTGTATCCGATGCAAACAACCTTCATTTCATTTAGAAGAAGGAAACTGAAGCCAAACGCAGACACCAAGGCGCCGTCACCAATTATGTCAAGGTCACGCACACAATTCATTGTATCATTCACACAAATTGGCTAATATCAAAGCATAATTTATAGCATAATGCAGTACCACAACACAACCAACTACACACACCACAACTACAGTCAGATAACCTAACAGAAGAAGTCACACTTCACAAAACCACACACAAGTCAAAGACTGACATTTGCAGAAAACCGCAACATCCCGACAACCAAAGCAGACAAACACACGGCTAGTTTCAGTATACAGAGGGTTATGGTTCCAGTATCGAGTCAGCTGTGAAGGCCTTCTGTCCTTAAGCAATTATTAAATGGTTGTTTGAGAAAAATAAAAAATAGGCAGGAAGAGATTAGCGGGGCTCACCTTTTTCCTGACGAGGTGGGAGATGTCTGAGGCTGCTTTGGAAGACGAGGCGCTGTCAGATGATTTAACTGGAATCTGAAGAGGTTTCGTTTGCTTAGAGATGTTGTGTGGGGCTTTCATTCCTGTTGTTACACAGTAAGTCAGGCACCTAACAGTTTTAATGTGCACAGTGTCCTTACCTGGCTGGCTGTTGCAAATGCCGAAGACGACGATGGGCCCCCATTTTCAGACAGGAATGCTGATGAGGTTGAGGCTCCGCCCTGTAAGAGGTCAGTCAGTTAGCCACGAGCTGAAGCTGCAATTGGATATAATGTAAACTTCACTCCAATAACCTCCAGGTGGAGTTTGAGTGAAAACTGAAGAAGTGTTGTTTCACACTTTATCACAATACACAGTCTTGTTGTCCTTTGTACCCACTAGTGTCTGCTGGATGGCCTGGGAGGCAGCACTGGCTGTTCTTTGGCTTTCCTTCGCATCCTCGACCTTTTCCCTGATGTCAGGCAGAAGCTGCTTCAGCTCATCCATCTCATTCTTCTCTTCTGCAGCCCCATCTGCTCCTTCTGCTGCGGCGATCACCTCCTGCAACATGGCTATACACCAACAATGAACGTGAGTTCATAGTGCAACCCCATTAGCTGCCATCACTGAATGAACTTTAATATATATATATATATATATATATATATATATATATATATAAATATATATTTATATATATATATATATATATATATATAAAATAAAATTCCCTACAATTTACCAGTTACGAAATGTAGCCTAATCTAAAAATAAGACAGCATTCAAGACGTACCCAGACGGGTCTCGATGACTTTTATGGAGCTGTTGTAGTGCTGGATGGCCTGGCTGTACTGATCCATGTAGCACAGTGTAGTGGCGACATGATAGTGGGTCTCAGCCAGAAGACGACTGTGGGGAGGCAGGTGCTTCAGCTGCAGGGCCAGACACTCCTGGAAGTCTTCTAGCGCCTGGGGATAGTTACCTGACAAAGAACACATGGGGTCACATTTAGCTCTGCTGAAGAGGCCGTCTTTGCGACCATTAGTGAATTAAAGCAATTTAAATATATTCAATGATAAACTAAACATTTATACACATGTCACTGGTCTGTTGAGTTTTTAAAGTGAATGTACTCGTTTTCAGTTCTACACCCAAGACGAAAAATTGAAGGTGTCTAGTTGACTGACTGAACGCAATATTTTGATGGGCCAATGCAAGATTACAGAGCAGTGGAAAGCATTAGTTCAGAACCACCTGGTGTTGGAGGGGTGGGGATTGAAACATACCTGATTCAGCACTGACTTCTCCAAGTTTCAGATACGTCTGAGCAGCCATCAGCTGGTCGTCTTGGTTTTCCTTTCTGTCGGGATAAATAAAAATAACTTTAAAAGACAATGTTACTTCACATACTCAAGCAGTTCCACCTGCAGTCTGGATTTATATGAAGGGAACAGAATAAACCTGTGTCTAATCACTTTAAATGTAAGTGGACATGACTGTATATTGACCTCACATCATCTTTCATTGTTGCCCTTACCTTTTGTAGATGACTTTAGCCACCTCCAGCATCTCCCACGCCAACTGCAAATTCCCCACTTCATCCTCTTCCTGAAAAAAAAGGTGCAGGGGGAATATGTCAAAAATCAAATATTTACAACTATGTCAAAGAAACCGGCATTAGGGGGAACTCGCCTTATCTTGTCCATTTGTCTCTCCATCCTCATCATCGTCGTCGTCATCGTCATCATCATCCTCATCATCTGTTCAAACAGGAGGATAATTAAAGGTTAATCATTTTGACGGTGTGATTGAAGGAGAAACTAAATGTGCTCAAATGTTTCCCCTGAAGTGCAGTACACCATTGCTCTGGTGAGTTTCCCCCCCTCCACCTTTAGTCAACACCTGTTAATGTGGCCCGTTTATAACAAGTGCAGAGTTTGTGCTCCACCCATCCACACAAACAGTGCTCTGTATCCAAAAATCTACTGCCCTCTGGTTCTCCGTCCTGTTCAGCCTCTGGCTTAGATTCATCTTTTCCTTCCTCTGGTTTTGCCTTTGTCTTCTCGTCATTCTGCTTTTCGGACTCTACCTTCTTTGTCACCGTTTCCTTTCCAGAAGACCCAGTGGGACCTTCCCCAACACCGTTCACAGGAGCAACCGGGCTCTTCTCAGCTCCATTCACTTTGGATTTCTGGACTGAACTCTTTTCTTTGCCATTCACAGGGGAAGTTGACGGTTCCTCTGATCCATTCACATGTTTGACCGGAGACTTTGCCACAGCATTTTCCTTTTTCACCTCAGTGTTGCCCTTTTCATCCTCAGACTCCAGCTTGCCTGACTCAGTCTTTTCCTTCTCCGCCATTGCGTCATACACCTGCTTTCGTAGCTCATCTCTAGTTTCTTCTGTACCAGAGTGGCATGTGAAAAATGGTTTCACATTAAATAGCATCTTTTAAAACCAAAAAGGTCAGTTTCTATGACTGGACATAGGAGGGAAACTCAATAACCGCCTTGCATTTGAGCCAAAGGTGACAGAAAACATGGACACCAACAGTAAGTTGTTGTTTGGCTTCTTAACTGCTCCAAAACTATTACCAATCAAAGGCCGGTGTTTAACCAGAACTGGATTTAAGAAAATACATGCAAGAAAATGCATATGAGGCTATACATACACACTACTTAGTTGATCAACAAAACAAGAACTTAATGAAGCATTTAATTAATTTTGCCATTCAGGGAATCAGAATGAAAGAGCATTATTCCACAATATCAAGTTATTTTTACCTCTAAAAATAATTAAATATGACTAAAATGTGATGACAGCCACTTGAAGTTACTTTGGAACTGGTTGCCTAAAAACAGTAATCTCTTTGCAATTACAGAAAAATATTTGATACTGACCATTAAGACTGTTGGCACTCTCAATGTTAGAGTTATTAGGCTGCTCCTCTTCCTCAGATTCTTCTGGGACTCCCTCCAAAGCATTACCAAGGACACTGTTCTCCATCCTAACAAACAAAAAGACCATCAAGACATCCAAAGTAAAGAGACACTGCTAATAGGAGAAGCAAGTCCAAAGAAACCAAACAAAGTGATGCCACATTAATCAACCCCGCAACAATCCAGAGTAACACTATAAACTATACAGTACATAAACCAGTTTTCAAAGTGAGCAATTAAATGAACAAACCTGGCAAGCTCTAGTAGGGACTTCCCACATAGGAAGAAGGCCTCGCCACACTCATCTGCAGTGTCCCCGTACTTTGCAGCCCTGCCAGATAAGACAAGCAGTCGACTTGGTCATGTTTGAAGGTCAGTAACAAGCAGAAGTTAAAAAAAAAGTTAAATTTCATTCAAATCCGAGAAGCATGAAGAGGTTGAAAATATACTTTCACTTACCATTACACACACACACACTAATAGAAAACAGAAAGACTGAGTACTAGAGATTCAGATTACATTGAGTGAGGCCAACTATCAGTGACAGCACTTTTCCCCACTGATACTCACAGCATGCTGCAGGCGTCCTGGAAGACACTGACAGCAGAGACAACATCTCCCATCACTAGATGCTTGTTCCCTGTGCCAATAAGTTTCTTAGCCTCCTCCATGGCGTCAACAGAGCTGCAAGAAAAGGCAAAAAGGAATAAACTGGTATATTAGGTCAATGTTGAATGATAACGAGAACAGATGCAGCGGGGTTTTTGAGTACAGACACGCACCTGTCTGCAGCCGCTGCTGCTGCTGATGAGGAGGAGGAGGAGCACGGCTTCTCCTCCACACTGCAGGAGTCAGAGGATTTCAGTCAATACCAAACACCTATCCTTTACTACTGGTATCTCACATAGTTTCACAACATGTCAGCTACGCCTTATTGTTGTTAGCACCGTATGGTTGTTAGCAAACTAGCCCACCAGTGGTGTGGGGGGGGGGGGGTGATGGTAGAAGCGCCTGCAGGAACCAATAGGTGCAGATGAACCAAACACCCTGTTACTTTCACAGTCATTAGTTATAAAGTGTGCAAAAACCTACATGCCATGCGACCAGTACTTTAACCACACAAGGTCGTCAACGTAGTGTTAGCTAAAAGGCTAGCTAGCTGTGTCCCCCCCACGCCACCGTACGTTATAGACAGTAAGAAAATTACAAGCGAGTTTTACCTCGACGCTTCCTCCGGCATCTTTTTCAGGACGACAGTAGAGACGGTGGAGAGAGAGACAGAAACAGGCGGTGTAGTGTGCCGTGGGTGAAGTACAGACAGACCTCTGGTGATTGTCTTTGTTGGCGCGCTTAAATAGAGAAAAGAAAGCTTTCTATTTCCGCTTAACTGGGAACGCGGGAGATTGCAGTTAAAGGAGCCGCAGCAAGTATCGTGATGCATTCAGGGCCCCGTGGGAGAAAGGAGACGGTAGGTTAAAGGCGATTTACAAAACACAACAGGTAATCTCAGAGACAAATAAAAAAACTGTATTCTGACGTTTTGTTGTGCGCTGATAAGGCACATGAATAAATAATAATAATAACTGAATGTGCTGTTTTATTTTCGATTATTTTAATAGATAATTCAATACACCCGAGATGTCCAACGTGACACTTGACGAAACTTTCTTTTTTGTTTAAATTAATCACAAATTGGGAAGTCGGTTAAAGTTAAGGTTCCATCGTCAAACTTGTGCTTATTATTTACCACCCGACAGCTCAAGTGGGCTGTTTTCACTCGGGAAGTTCAGATTTCCCACGACGAGAACGCACCAATTATGTCTCGCTAATTTACACTGTGATCAAAATCCTCTTGAGTTAACTGGGATTTAGTTTATAATTTAGCTTTTGAGGCTGACCATTGGTAGGAACGAGGTGAGCTTTACAGTCAAATGAATAAAACTACATTAAAATAATTAAAACATTATGTCGCCGACTGTCCCTTTGAGCAGTAATCAGCAGTAATGGAGGCTGAAAACGGAAACAGGCAGCAGTGACAGCAACGGTGTGTCACCATCTCCTGGTTACCCTCGACCGCACTTTCGCCACGTTGAACCAGATTATGACCTTTGGTATATAAATTGCCACACAGTACTAATGTTAATCACGTAATCATATGGCATTATGTTGATAAAGTAATTATTTTACAGGTGGAATCGGAGCCTCGTTGGCGCAGTAGGCAGCGCGTCAGTCTCATAATCTGAAGGTCGTGAGTTCGAGCCTCACACGGGGCACTTGTTTTGTACCGCTTTATGCCGTTGTACGTGTACCACTCGGTACCACAGGCGATACGCAAGCCCCCTCTAGTGGATGCGCGGATTAAACTCCAAAATAGTTTTAAAAAAGTCGATAAATTAAATTACAATATATTATAATATATTATAATATAATATATATATATATTATATATTATAATATATATAATATATATATATATATATATATATATATATAAAACACCTCAATGAAAATACCTAAAGTATGAAATTGCTGGAATGTAATTTTAAATAAATGTTAAATATTTTAATTCAACATGTGCTACGTAATCACGTCCATGCACGTAGCGCACGCACACATCCACGCACCATAATTACCATAGTTACGAGCTAAAATGCAAGATAGTAAACGGAGGTAAATACATAAATTGTCAGGGGGTGAAATGAATGGTTCAAATACATTACAATCGTAGGTCCAAACGGGAACTACTGAGAGGTTTTACACCAATTTAGATCCGGTTCCGTTTGACAAACAATACAAAAATATATGTAAATCTATTATGTGAGAGTCAGTCGCGTTGCCATCACTACCAAACATTCTCCCAACATTTGACCAATCAGATGCCTCCCCACTACCAACAATCGTGAAAACCAATCACAATCGGTAGAACTACCAAGAATGGCGCCGGAAACGAAATGCCCATAAAAGGAACGTCAAATTCTTTGAGCGCCGATATTAAAACGTCCACTTGCTTTCATATGTTCTCATTTAGCTCCAACACAATATAGAATTGAAGAAATATACAGAAGCCATTTTGTAGCGTACATTCGGGATTATAAAACATTTTAAACTGCCGAAAACTCCTCTAACTTCTGTATCCATCTTCCCCCGGCGGGGGATCGAACCGTTGACCTTTCGTTTCGCAGCGAATTACCACAAGAGGAGCACAACCGCTCTTTCCTATCTTCGTTGTTAAGAAGAAATGTGAACCAGGTCGTCGTGTTAAAGTATCGTATGTCGTTACTTTACATGGTGATAACAGGGAGGCCAAATATTAATTTAACGTTTCATCTACAATGTCAGTAACTGTTCCCGGACTTGATAGGTTGTCATGGCTACTGTAAATTACCGAACTAACGTTAACTAACGAATATCCGTTGCAAACAACCTTAGCTTAGCTACTGAACGTGGTGTTGGGAAAACAAACTAGTATTAATTTAGGTTGTTGGAAGAGTTAAATTTGAAGAAAATCATCTTTTTGTCAAATTGTAAACAAAAGACAGTCTTTAAGTCATTATTACATTATCTGAATGGTGTTCTTTTATTGAGGGGGTGTTTAAAAATGACTGCTATGGTCCAAAGTGACCAGCGGGTGGCGCCATTGTTCCACTCTCAAACTGTATTTCCTCCTGATTCCACTTCACTCACAGTCATCAGTCAGGTTTAATGGACCGTATCTGCAGTAGCAGCTGTTGTAAAGTATGTGTGTGATATACAGATTTAAAGTCAGTGGGGAAAAAAAAGAAGCTTACTTATGCGTCTTATGGCCACATAAGTAAGTGAATTCCGAGTAAACTGCCTTTATTCCTTATGATTTTATGACATTTATGGTCTTATTGTGTTGCCAGTTTCTCAACTGTAATACGTTGTTATTGACATTACGATAGTTACCGTATAGCAGACACACACTCTCATACCAAGTGGTATTTTGAAAGTATTTTGAGTGCACATGTCAATTAAGTAATTGAGCAGAAGTGAGTGAGAGAGTCAGAGGGGGAGGAGGGCGCTGAGTCTGACAGTGGGCTCCAGACAGACTTACTGGCTGCAGATGAAGTTTTCACTCACACTGCACCGTGGGACTTTTTTTTAGGAATTCATATTAACCACCCAGACTCTCTATATCCTGACTGAGATGTTGCGATGTTCCGTGCAGCCTTACAAAGCGTGGACTTGTTTTGGCTGATTTTGTTTTATTTTGTTTTTCTACCGGAGACCGGCTGTAGATCAGCCGATGTGGACAGCTGTCATGAGGTGAAGACAGCCTACATGATGCGCCAAATAGGCCCGGTGGAGCTGGTGCCAGACAGGCCGGGAACAGGTCAGTCAGTCCCTTTGGAAATATCATAGCAGAAAGTCAACAGGAGACTTTAGAAAATGAGGTGGGATGTAACGTGTATGTACATTTACTGAAGCATTGTATAATTATATATAGTATAATAATTTAAAGATAGTCAAACTGAGCATTTTCATTTTGTTACATTTCATCCTTCTTCTCCACCACATTTCTGAGGCAAATGTTCTGTTTTTTTTACTCCAACTATTAGTAGTAATAAGTATTAACTTATTACTCAGATTTTAAATACAAAAACAGATGAGTTTATACATTACAATTCAACATTACGTATTAAACTAGAGAGCAGTGTTTAAAGATTAGCTCCACCTAGACCAGCTCCAAAACATCTAAATGTTAACGATGTATCAGTAACCATAACATATACCTACATAGATTATATAAAAACATACATATAATAATAATAATAATAATAATAATAATAATAATAATATATCCTAATATAAGACTGATAGGGCTGATCTGCTACATCATGGCTGCTTTTACCTTTGATACTAGAACATTTTACGTGTTATACTAATTTAACGTAATTTAATGTTATACAATTTTGTTTGAATAACTTGTAATTGAGCATTTTAACAAAGTATTCCTTACTTAAATAAAGGATCCAAATACTACTACATACAATCCCTACTAACCACACAAAAGCACCTTAAAAATCTCTATAGGTAAAATATATAATTCAGTGTAAACCTGCTGTTGAGTATCACAAACTTTGAGATTCACTTCATATAGTTGGGCTGGGTTTAACAACCTTCCTGTGCTGAAACAAATGTTAAAGAATGGCTATATTTTCCACACGTTCTCCTTTTAAATGACTGAAATGAAAGCGAGCATACATGTCCTGTTAAATAATCAAACTCCAAATTAATATCTCTCCTGCTATGAGATTTTTAATACTTGAAGCATTGCTGTGAGTTGTTGCCCACACAGGATTTAAACTCATAGCTCTAGAAATGCAGGGCCAAATTCCAAATATACAGGATCGTCAGTGTGCAGCCAACACTTATTAGAGAGAGAGAGAAGCTATTTCTGTTTAAAAACGAACCTAAATAGTCTGCACCACTAATATAGAGCTCTTTAAAGTGTACGTGGCTATAAGTGGTGGTGTTAAAGATGCTGTTTTTTTAAATGTAAATGTGAGATTTTGTCTGGCTCATGAGAGTCTCTTTGGAACCATATTAAGGTGATCCCTTGGAGTCATTTGGCTGGCAGTAATTTCAGATTTCCCTGGATAGTGGAGAGTGAAGTGGTGGATGATACAGATCTCGAGTTAACAAGCTTTATTTTCTTGAAATCTCGACATAACATTAACTGTCTCCTTCTCATAATTATACAGTTCATGAAGGTGCATAAAAATCAGATGTTAATCGTCTAGCTATACTCAGCAGACACACAGAAATCTGCCAGACAACAGCAGATAACACTGCTCCAACAGAATGAAAAATCCATGCTTTATATATCTATAACTTGCCTTTGGGGACTCATTTGCCCGTGGTCGATGAAAAATGAGATGTAAGGTACTGAAGTATTCCTGCAGTATTATTGTTGCTGCAGGAACTGATGTGTGTTTCTATGAGCTTGTGATTCTTAACAGCTAGTTAACAAAATATGGTGGCGGCCTTTGCATTTTCAGGCAGGGATGTCTGCTAATTATAGATGTTACCACAGTAGATGCTCTGCACAACAGTCTTGTGATCTGGTGTGGCCATGAATGGTCACACCAGATGAATTAACTTGAGAGAGTAATCATTTTAAGTAGGCTGTATAACAGCTCTCCTTGATGTACGTACCCACACCAACACTTCCTACTCTTCCCTGGACAAACGCAGAGAACTCCCTGGCCTGTCACTGGTGTTTGCTTTTAATATTCGAGCTGAAAAACAAGATGGTTGGTCTGAAAATGTTGTCCGAATTCTCCTGAACTACCACCTGAAGTTTTGTTGTTGAGCGTGAGGTTTCATTATTGACCTCTCACAAAGAAATCCTTAACGTGATGTCCACTTACCGGAAATGTTCTAAAGTTTTGAGGCTTGAACAAAGACAGGGATTACAATCCCCCCCCCCCATACTGTATGACCGCCTGTTATCATGTGACAGATCAAATTCCATACATGTATCATGTGATAACAATGAAACAATCTCTATGACAACTGAGCAAACTCCATCTGCTGATGAAGGACATGTGATGCAGCTGAAAGTTCTGGAAAATTTCCAGTAAGTGGACCTTGTGCTTGAGAGATTTTTCTTTTTTTTTCAAATTAGTTTAACAATGAACTTTGAGACGAGACCAGAGGCTGCACAGGTTTCTGAATCACGCTGACTGAGTGAGTGTTGGACTGGTTGTTCTCAGATTTATATGTGAAACTGAGCTGACCTGTCGTCTGGCTTCCCACCAACCTACTGTCCCACTGGCAACTGAGGAATCCAACATAGCATTACCAATAAATACTAGCTATCCCAGTAATGTACTCCACCGTCAGCCAGTGCTAATATGAATAGCTGAAGTTTCACACAAGTCTGGTGTGTGTGTGCGTGTGCGTGTGTGTGTGTGTGTGTGTGTGTCAGGTCAGATATAGGTGAACTGTCCATTCCTCTGATCTCTCTCTTTCCCTTGATCTCAGTCAGTTGCTTGACAGCTTGGCTTACAGCACTCTACCAATGTCAGACTGCTCCACACACACAAACACACACCTACACACACACACACACACATACACACAAACACACAAACACAGACACCTCTACACACACACACACACACACACACACTTGGTGTGAACTGTGAAGTGTCGGCCACTGTGCATGTCATCATGTCAGGTCCCAACAGGCTCATTGTAGAGTTACTTTTGTGAATAAAGTCTTTAATAAAGATTATTGTTCCCTAAATGGATCAGCAAACTTAACTGATTAATAAAACAACCTTTAGGAACACATCTCTAGCTCTGAGTACCTTTTGAGTGGTAAGTAAGACAAGGAATTCATTCCGAGCCTTAATTGTAATAATTATAATAATATCAAACATTTATCAGATATGTCTTACTTCTATTAGTCATGAAAAACTTGTTGAGTACGCCTGCAACCTTTTATCCAAGGTCAGAGTAAAGGTGGATGCAGACTTAATGAAATAATTAATTTTATTCTGTGTTGGATCTTCAGTGAATATGATGAGGCCTGAAGCTCTTTCTTCCGCCTCTGTCTTTCAGATGAGTCTCTGCGAGTGTGTGTCCACCCTGGGCCCAGCTGCTGCACCAGTAAGATGGAGGACAGCTACATGGCGGCAGTTCGCAGTGAGACGCAGCAGAAGATGCGATCCTACAGCTTTGAACTTAAGTACCTGATCGCTGGACACACCAAGGCCTACCAAGGTGAGGGAGAGAGTATACAAGCGAGACCAGATGATACAATATGTACACTAATGCATGCTTCATTGAAGAGGAATGCAAATAGGAGAATTACAAACATTTCTTCCAGTTCCTCAACAAATCAAAACATTGTCTAGTTGTTGTGTGATGAAGGAGTGCAATGTACACATACATTGTACATGATTATTCCTCAGTTAATTATACTTTGATTGTAGTCTCTTAGTTGATCGACTCTATTAAGCAAAAACACCAAAAATGATTTGGTTTCAGTTTCTCAAACATAACAATTTGCTGCATGTTTGTATGATTTTAATTGAATATTTTTTGGCTTTTGGACTGTTCCCTTGAACAAAACAAGTAATATAAAGATAAACCATTTGGCTCTTGGATATTGCTATTGAAATTATACTTTTTTCATTGCAGCCCTAATGTAAACAGTAATGTTTTGGTTTTATATGCTGCATTAATAATTTATAATGACTAATGAGCACTAATAATTTGCGTGTGCGTGATTCAAGAATGTAAATCAAAGTGACTTTAATAGCAGTGTTGATTTTGGTGTTTTAACAGTTCTGTCAAGTGCCTATGGCCCCCCGTCATTCGCACTTTGTGTGTTCATCATGAAATAGCTAGTTTGTGTCAGGGTAGTGGTGTGAGGCCAGTTTATTTTGTGAGGCGCCACAGTGGCTAGCCAAACAAACAACTGATGTTCGATTGAGTCTTTGAGAGCGCAAACTCTCAGAGGGAGCAGCGGAAAACTTTGTTACAACTCTCCGCTCTCTTTCTCTGTCTGTCTGTCTCTGTCGCTGCGATAATCAGGTTTTGTTCTTGACCAATGAGAGAGCGAGGGACGGAGAATGTTTACATTCAGTACGTATCCGCAGCAAAGTGTTGTTGCCGTGGGCAACAGCCGGTCTCTAACGGGCTGCTCTGAATAGGAGGAAGAATACTCTGCTTGTCCACTTGTCTCTCAACGCTATTCACCAGTCTGTGTGAGCATGTGTGTGTGTGTGTGTGTGTGTGTGTGTGTGACAGAAAGAGCTTGTGTGTGTGTTTGCATGAATGTGTGTGTGTTTGCATGAATGTGTGTGTGTGTGTGTGTGTGTGTGTGTGTGTGTGTGTGTGTGTGTGTGTGTGTGTGTGTGTGTGCAGAGATTATGAGAGGGGTAGAGTTGATGAAACCCAGCAGACAGACATGGCAAACATGTACCTCTCTGTTTTCTTTGTTTCTGTCTCTCTATCTCTCGCTCTCTCCTCCCCTGCTACATCTGAATGCACCCAGGCTCGGTTTCAGCTTCTATTTATGCCCAGTGGATGGCTAAACCATCCATGGGTAAAATTAATGCAAAACACCCATACACAAAGAAAGGCTGAACGTGGAGAAAAGTGCAGCGAGCAAGAGGAGACAAGTTTACAATTTGCTGCATTTAATTGAAATTTAACAGGTTTGCAGGTTTAACAGCGCAAAAAATATGTTTTCTCACTACCAACCAAGAAATATCTACCCATGCAGATAGTTTTATGTGCTTAAGTGATAGATATCATTCTCTGAAAATCAGGGTGGAAATGATACAAACAGATTGATTATACCTGGTATCTCAGGGTTTATATGGCTTTATGGTTTGTTTCTGCCATTTGCTTTTTAAAATGTGGTAAAGAAAATATGCTTTTTTGTATTTTAGATGAACCAACACTTTAATAAATGAAATGAATTAATGCACGACAGCAGTGGTCTTCAACAGCTGAGCTGAATCTCCAAGGATCCCCTCCCCAAAGCACAGTGATTAAAACCCACTAGAGAAACTGAGACATACCCAGAGCGGTTGTAGTCAGGCTCTATTTACACCCAGTGGATTACTTAAGTGCGTGCGTGTGTGTGTGTGTGTGTGTGTGTGTGTGTGTGTGTGTGTGTGCGCGCATATGTGTCTGCATGCTTGCGTGTCTTTCTCCTGGCACTGTAAGACCCTTGTGCCCTCTCCACCATGTCGCAGCTGTCATCCAATCACAGAGGGCAAAGAGCTAATCACATGACCCCAGAGTAGAGTTGGCCGTGTCACTCGATGCCGCCTGTATTTGTGTTGCTATTGCCAGGACATGGGTATGCAAACACATAAAAGTGAGACGTTCTCACTCAGTACTTCAGGCAAGCGAGCCCTCCCTCTGCTGCTCTACCGCCTCATTCCCTGACCACCATCTAAGTCACTTCAGTTCATTACATCTATTTGACAGAAAATGAGTATGAATGTACAGAACTGAAACCAATTCCATGTCGCTGTTCTGTCAACTCTCCTGGAGAGTTGTAATGATTTCCTTATTTACTCAGTTTGTGTGTTATTTAATACATTTCCTAATAATTTGCTGTCACAAGGAGAGTTAGACAGCTGCAGCTGTGAAATACAGAGATGTTAAGACATGAACACACACACACAAACATGCACATTGACTGACTGAATGACTTACTGAAAGTTACGGATAAATAGATTTCTTTCTTACTTACTCCAATTGGGTGTGTGTGTGTGTGTGTGTGTCTGTGTTTGTGTTTGTGGGTGTCTGTGTGAGAGAGTCAGGATGCCATCAGATTGACATCACCCTTTTTACTTGGCAAGTTTCAAACATAGACACACACACACACTGGCACACAGCCGCTGTTAAGGGTGCTGTCCACTTTATTAGACCGTGTCGGACATAGGAAACACAGTGGATCCTGAGATTGGGCCTCTCATTATCACCTGACTATAGATAACAGGGTAGTGAAAACGAGCTCAGGGATGAATTAAGTTGTGTGCTATTTTGGCTCGTATGCAGCAGGATAAAGTCAGTCCAAGGTTAGTGAGACAGACACTGTGTAACAAAGGGAAACTAATATATGCACAAATATGGAAATGCCACATCTTACATGTGGGAATCATATGTATCTATGTCAGCAATGCCCCTATTAAAAATTGGAGCAATCCAATTTTAGTGGATCACCCAAAATGTCTCTGCATACTTACTGCATTCCGTAAACGCGATAGATTAGTTCCCTTTAATCCTTGCTTTCACTATGCACTTCTGTCTGCCACTTTCCTGGAAAATGAATGCTTGATTTACGAGACTTATAAATAAAATGAATGAACGAACAAACTCATTCTTTTTCTCCTAATGTTTTCTTCTAACTTTAATGTTACTCCTCCTTCCACCAAAACGGAAAGCTATTGGTTGTCTTTGCAACAGTGGTGGAAAACGTGTCCGTCTCCACTTTAATATAACAACAGGACTGAGGTTAGGAAATTAAAGAAGTTCATACAGCAACAATAACACAATTGATATGACTAGTTATGAAAGCAGAAGTCATATTAGTTAAGCATGCTAGTGCACAGAAATGCTCGCTAGATAAGGGGTCATTAGACTGAAAATTAATAAGTTAACTTAACTAACAGCCTGCTATAAGTTAATAATCTTCTTGATATTCCTTTCAGCTAAATTCATGACTTATTATCATGGACCCTTTCTCTCATTCCAGAAACCTTCGAGTCGCTTGTGTCGTTCACATCTAACCTGACCAGCACTCTGTTCGACAACGCCTACTCCGCGCTGGCGTCCGACTGTCGCCCCCTAGTGTTTGAGTTGTTCAGCAGCATCAAACACCACCTCTCTGGAGACTCAAATTCCTCACTGGACGACACTGTGCGTCAGTTCTACAATGACCTTTTCCCGTTGGTCTACCGCCGCCTGCTCAATCCCGGAATCGGCCACACGTCACCCCAGTCCTATTCCTCCCCCTCCACCAATCAGGACGAGTGCCTGCGGATGACGCGGCAGGATGTCAGCCCTTTCGGACCCCATCCTCGGCTCCTGGTCAGCAGCTTGTCCCGTGCGCTCAGGGTGGGCCGAGCACTGAGCCAACTGCTTAGACTGGCCGGAGAGGTTGTGAACGCGACAGAGAAGGCAACCTTATCCAGAGAGTGTGGACGAGGCTTAGTGAGGATGCAGTACTGTTCCCACTGCAGAGGGCTGACACTGATACGGCCCTGTACCGGACTGTGCGTCAACATTATGAGAGGATGTCTGGTAAGTGTTTGTATGCGCCTATCTGTTTTAATATGTGTGTTTGTTTCCATTATAGTTATACTATACAAACTATACAGGATCTTAAGGAGGTATATGTGTGTATGTTCTCTCTCATTAAGTCACTGAGAGATTACAAAGGTTACGTCGGTAAGTATGGAGCCAGTGGCAGGAGGCAATTAGCTTAGCTTAGCATAAAGACTGGAGGCATTTAACCTTGCTCTGTCCACAGTTAGAAAATACACCAATGCCAGCACGTCTTAGTATTATTAATTGCCACATTATACCATGTTTATTTCATATTTTAATTAACAGAAATGTGAAAATGTCAATTTGTGGTGTTACATGCTGCAAGAAAGCAATGTATTTCTTCTTAATTAATAATTCGTATTAATTATCTGAACTATTCTTTTAAATAAACCTCCTGCCACTTTGTAAATAATTTTAGATAAGTCATATCTAATTCCAGATTTAGTGTGATTCTTCTCAGGTTTTGTCTGTGTATTGTAGCTGATACTGTTTTAAATGCATGAGAGGCCTCAGAGTATTTGTCTCTTTTCTGCCTCCAGAGAAGCAAGGGAAAAAAGTAATAATGCTTTCATCTTTCACATAACTGAATCAGTCATTCACAGCATTTTATCATCAATAAATCATTCCCACATTAAGTTTTAGACTGACAAATAACAAGAGCATTGCCAAGAGAACTGGCAGTGTCCTCTGTGAATCTTACTGGGCTGCTTCGAAATTAGCTGGACAGCTTTAACAGCGCCCACAATAGAGAGACTTCTTTCTAGCACAAAGCTGGAAGATGGCACTGTTCATCCCGCTTGAGAGTTTCTTGGAAGGAAAGAAAGTGTGATGGAGAAACTCCCATAATGTTTATCCTCTTCAGTAAAGGAAAGGAAAGAAAAGAAAAACACACACAGTAAAGTGAAGGCGAGGCAGAGGGACAAGTAGGAACAGCCTCTCGGTGACAGAAGGAAACTTGGTTTATGGAAAATGTGTTCCTGGCTCTTCTGTCATGAGATAGAAACTGCCAGTCATCTCAGTCCTTGGCTCATCCATCCATCCATCTGTTTTTCTAATTATAGCAAAGTGTCACTATCAATTTGTCACTGATTGATTTGTTTGAAGTAAAATATATGCAGCACATCTAAGCCAACTCACCAGCTTTTAAAAAACATGTAAAATGTAACATTAAAACATGTTTTTATTGTATCCCTCCCCTCCTTCCTCTCTGCACCCTCTTTCTCCCCCTCTCCTCCCCTTATCTGAATTCACTCTTCCCATTTCTCCACTTTTCCTGTCCATTCCCTCTATTCAGATGGGCGTATCAGAGCTTGGCGCCCCCTGGGGGAGTTTGGTGGTGTTGCTCCAACGGTTAGCTGCTACTTTAGCAACCAGCAGCAACCACAACAGCATGGAGTTAGCTCTGTTAGCAGTCCGAAATCATGTGAATGATGCTATACTGCACGCTCAACTGCATGGGCCACGCATTACAGCCACAGTAAGCAGGGGGGATGGTGGGATGGAGGGGAAGCTGCAAGTGGTTTGCCCTATACTCACTACACCTTAAATGATTAGATAAAATACATTTATGATTCTGGATATGGATGAATGTCTGCTAAAAAAAAGGTTGAAACACAAAAAAATCATGCCCCCTCATATATATCAGTAATAGATTGCTAAACCATCCTTACTCATATACCCCAATAATAAAGTCATTTGAATTTTGGACACAGAATGAGGAAGGCCGTGGGTTTTCTTTCAGCCTGGCAGTTGGATCTCCTCACAAAAGCCTTGTACCTAGATGGGCTAAAAACAGCCTCATTCTTCAGAGAATCTGGGGTTCCCCTTAGTCTGTGTGTGTTTGTGTGTGTGCGTATGAGAGTGTGAATACAGATCCAGTGCCAGACAAAGACTGTGGTTGGCGGGACAACCGATACCCAGAATGCAGCTTGGTTCTGAGTGATGAGAAAGTTCCTGTGGCTAATCTCTGGACAAACAGACGACACACAAACACATGCATGCATGCACACACTGTTGGAGGAAGAAATAGAGTAGCCATCCAACTTTGAGGGAACATTGTGGACTTAGTAGAGTAGATTCCTGAGAGGTAAACAAACACACACAAGCATAATCACACTGCTAATTGTGGCTAATAAGAAAATACCACTTAATTGAATATTTGATCACGCTTCTTATTCATTAGACACATCACCAAAGGCTGGCCTCTAACCCTTTATGTGGTATGTGCAGCATTTAAAGCAAATAGATGATTGCAGCATGAATTTTAAGACAGCAGTAATCTCTGTAAACAAGTAAGACCACTGTGGAGAAAACAGACTTTACTGGCCTCTATAATATGTCTGGTGTTGTGCTCCACTGTGTTGGATTTCAAGGTAAATCTGTAAGTTTGCAAATAGTACACAAAAAAAGCAATGTATGTTGTGGGATTGTTGAACTTTTTTCTTTGTGTCATAAATGGATTTTATGGTAAATGCTGTGTTATTTTTAAGAATGTTAAAAATGATCAGTGACCCAGGTAGTAGGATATCTAGACAGAATAAGTAAATTAATCCAGATGCCTTTGACTAAGTGATATAATAATACTATACAATAATACCCAACTAGGGGTAATTGAACCCCAGTGGGTATTTCTAGGTTTTGACTTGACGTTGGGAAGATTGTGAAGCTCATTTATATAAAATATATCTTAATGATATATGTTTGATATGATTTAATATCAAAAAGGGAGACCAAGCCTAAACATCGACAATGCCAGGATCACTATGTCTTAGATGTTAAACTTGTAACAAAATTTGCTTTTATATAATTGATAGTGTTAAATAACATCCTATTCAAAATCTCTTCAAAAGAGCACATTTGACATATGATGGGTGGTGCTGATGAAGGGGTACTTGAGCTCATCTGATGGGGTGTGGTGAGACTCAAAAGGTTAGAAACTGCTGTTTCCAGCACATTCCACTTAGCATTTCACTGAAAAGCAGCCACATCATTACCCTCTAACACTACCCTGCAGACTGTCTCTTCCTCAGGTAGAGAAGGTGTGTGGACCCCAGGCAGCTGGTCCCATGATGCCAAGTGCTAATCCCACCGTCTCGCATGTTACGACCTCTGTAAGCCCTGCTACATCACTAACCTCAGAAAGGTCGTCTGTGACATCGCCTCCCTCGGCGGGTCTGGCTGCTCATCAGCGTCTGCTGCAGCAGTCCCGGAGGTGAGTTACTGTCCATACATCTGATGAAATGTACGAGTTCTTCTGTCAGAGGTTAGAATATCTGGGGCCAGAATATAGCCACAGTAGGTGAATTAAATCTGGAAAGAGACGCAGTAGAGGTTCTTTTTACATTTGACCTGCAGTCATAGCAGAATTTAAACATGTATTGTATTTGCTTGTTTGTGTTTTTCCCACCAGGTCATTCCTTCTTAAAGGTTCCAGAGGGGACAAGAGTCGCAGTCTGAAAAAACTCTCAAGGTAAATTGGTCTCAGCACTTATTATTATCAAAGTAAAATTTGTGCTTAATCAAGAAGTAAAATGATAGACTTCTAATAACTTGTTAATGTCTCATGTTATTTTTGTTTTTTGTTTTTTTTACAATAGTCATTTACTCCATTCTGTCTATTCATTACCCCTGAAAGAAGAGTTAGTGTCAAGAGAAACCTTGTTAGTTAACATATTTCCCCCCCAGGACAGGATATGTATTTTACAATCATTGAAAACATCTGTTTGAATGATCCAGAGCAAGTAATAGGCCAATAAAGTGCAACTTTGTCCCCACCAGTAAACAGTCAGCAGACCATTAATTCTCTGTAGGTTTATTCGCATTTGAATAATACAATATCATTATTTTATGTGTCAGGTGGGACTGTCATTATGCAGTAATTATCAAAAGTGCTATGAGCTTGTTTCCCATCCCTGTGTTGCTTTCAGTAACTTACCAGAGTCTATTAGAAGGGATTTCACAGGGAATTGGGCTTGACAAGTCTAAATTGGAACAAATAAAAGCATATGGTACATTGGTGCTACTCTTACTAACAACAACACAAGCGTTCAGCTGTGGATAACGCTCTCTCGCTCTCTCTCTCTCTCTCTCTCTCTCTCTCTCTCTCTCTCTCTCTCTCTCTCTCTCTCTCTCTCTTTCAGGGAGTTTGAGGGCTCTATCCAACGGTACCAGTGGTTTTTCTCAGAACTGCCAGAGATGCTTTGTGAGAGTGAGATGGAGGTTGAGCAGCACACATGCTGGAATGGCCAAGACGTCGTAGAGAGGTGTGTGTGTTGTGTTATATGCATTCCTTAGTAGCAAAGCAAAGACCTACCAAACACCAAGCATGTAGAACAGTTGCTCTGACAATATGGGGTCCTGGATTACTACTTGAGTGAGGCACCCATTCCTGGCATTTAATGTTCATAGTTCCAAATTGGACAAATGATGAAAATGCAACACAATTTAAGATTTTACATCCAGTATGCTGGAGTAGAAAGCTAAAGCAACAGATAAATGGTGCACTGTTCACTGTACTGAATATGTGTATGAGCAAGAGAAGTAGATAGAGAGAGACAGTTTTGATGTAAAAATATTGGCTTTGGACTTTGGGCAGGTTTGTGCTCAAAAATTTCAGGTCTGTGCAGTACTCAGGAGGCCATGTAAAATACAAATTAGTGTACAGTTAATTTGTCCCTCAATGATGAGAGTGCTGCAACAATACTGAGTATTGCTCACTGTACTGTCATGTTCCTGGAAGCTACAGTATATAGCGGCAGTACTGATGTACAGTTGAGGGTATATTTGTCCCAGTGTACTGTAGCATCCAGTCAAAATTCAGAGTCAAGTGACAGTCCAGGAGGTCTGTGAGGAAGATGCCACTTTACTGTTGTAAATCGAGTTTTTGTCATTTTAGGTCAGCCTTATATCAATGCAACGTTGTTAGGAAGTTCATCTTCTGTTGATGTGTTTATATTCTCTACATTTATCTGACACAGAACTTTAAAGCATAAAATGCCAGTAGTGCTTCACTCAGGTGATTATCCATGACTGTGTCTAATTTTGAGTCAGAATGATTTTTTAAATTTAAAAAAGGTGGAAAAAGTGCAGTATATGAGAATGTGTGTGTCTGTGTATATGTATGTGTGTGGCTTTTAATAGTTGCCAGGGTGGGGGTTGGGGGGTGACAGGGTTGTGAAGGTTAGAGAGTTCGTTTGCAGAGTCTTTCTCATGGTGATTACATTGGCAGCTTAAACTGGTAACAAGACAAATGGGCACACACACGCACACAAACGTAGAAACACACACCCATTCACAGGCGCGCACTCAAATGCACTCCAACACACACATTCCTACACACATACCAACTAACACACATACCAACACGCACCTTGCAATACACACAGAATATGGGATGACTGTGCTCATCTGACATCTCACTGCACACGGCCCTGTCTCACCACACACACACACACACACACACACACACACACACACAAACACACACACACACACACACACAAACGCTGAGTTCTATCCATCTTAGTAGGGAATCAGTTGCTGTGATGGAAAAGGTTTTCCGTTAATGGTCTATCAACCACATGAAACAGGCCATGTAGCCTTGCAAGGACATCCTACAAAAACAAACACACACACACACACACACACGCATGCATGCACACACACACACACACACACACACACACACACACACACTGTGCTTTGTCACCATCAGTGCTACAGTGAAGGCCAGTAAACCTCGAAATCAAAGGCTCTGCCATTTCTTTGCCTCTTCTAATATTTTAGCAGTGGAACAAGACCCCCTTTATGATTTGATTCAAAAGTACCATTAAAGGATTACAAATATTCCAATGTATATAAAAAACACAAATTTCAGTAATATATTTTGCAGTATACAGTAATGTATATTATTTTACATTTAAGAAATGCAGATGATTAGCCCCACATATAAAAGAAATACAGTATAATACGTTTCAACAGGTGTCAGAAATTATTTAGTATCACTGAGTTATGGTTACCATATTTGCCACACTGAGTCTGACTGTCTTCCTAAAAATCCCTCAGGGGCTTTGCTTTTAAGGTACTTTAGGAAACTGGATGAAAGTAAGGCCTTAAAGAGCAAGTTAATCATATTTAGCCAGAACCAAGGTGCACAAAAGGGATATTATTGAGGAATTGGTGTTATTATCATACTTGTAATTTTGTCTGTGACAGGTCAGTAAGGTGATGTTTCTGAACGTAAACAAGATAAAATATTCAGAAAACCTCAGACTGTCATTACCTTTGATGTGTGTTTTTGGGTGAAGTTTTACTTAGAGGAACAGAAGAGATGTAACATTCAGCCTGTGTTGGAGTTCAGCCAGTCTGTGCCTCTCTGACCTCTTTACATCTTCTTCTCTCTTGCATCTACCCATCCACCCGTTCATTCATTAATTCAGCCATCTATTCATCTCTCCATCCTTCTATTCAGACCTCCATTCATCTCCTCCGCCCTCTGACCCACTTCACTTACAAATGTCTATGTTGGTGAGAGTGTGTGCATGTGAGAAAAAGAGAAATAGGCGGCAGCACACACATGCCAAAGGGCTTCCTAAATAGCATCTTGCAGGAATGTTTATCATCTGAATGCAGCAACGCTGAAACAAGTGATTTTGAGAGATATTTCTTAAATTTCCTTTGAAAACAAGCAAAACAAAGGTGTCCAAAAGAGAAACACAGTCCATTACTGCTGCTTGTGCAGGAAATATATAAGAAGGAAGATACCATTTGCAACTACAGTCTTCTTAACAATATTCAACAGTTTGTGGTCAAAGTCTCGACTGCCATTGAGTAACCTTGTACAATTTGGACCCATGAATTAACACTGCCGTCAGCTGCCAACCCAGACTAGGCCATATATAAACTGAAGTGATGGCAGAACCCAATTGGCAGCAAAATGTCCTCCAATCACTTCTGGCCAATCCACCATATCCACCTACACAGATGGGACACTTAAATACAACAGAGCAGAGCACAGAGTAAGATGACAGTGGGCCATTATGATATATACATTTAAATAAAACTGTTCTGAGAATAATCATTCAAATTACATCATGTAACAGGAACATATGTATATAAACACACAATGAATCCTGTATGGTCCAAAGTCAATACGACATCAGTGACCTGCACTGGGTCTCCTACACACTCTACAACTACAATCCACACGTCATCCAAAAATTACCATTTTCACCATTGTGTGTCATTTTCCATTATAGACACCATAGCTCTCAAAAAACTATTATTCAAACTCCATACATCTGGATCATAATATAAAAAGAAATTTAGATCATACAATGACATTTAAAGTCACAGCTGTACTGAGCAGCTTCCTATCCATCCTTTCTAGCTTAATGTCACAGCCCCCATCTGTAGCTAATTTACAGCAGCTATATCCTCTATAAATATCTTAGAAGGAGTTAAATCAAGCACAGGGGACAAGTGGTACAAATTAAATCCTGAGTGTGTGATATGCAGCAGAGTGCTGATTGTGTCTCTTTGATTGACTGGCCTGTGATTGTACAAGTATTACAATGAGAATGAATTAATATTGCGCAACTGTGAACTTTGTGACTTGAATATTCACAATTGTTACAGTTAAACATTTTTAAATATATGTGTTTTTCATCTATTCAGACTGACTAAACTGTACTGTTTATGGAGCCAGTTAGAGCTGTAATAGCTGATTTTCTCCAGAAGAGGGAAGCATTTTATCACCATCCTAAAGTCACAAGCCATTAACTCTGCTTCCACCACTGAAGACCTGCCACACCCGATGTTTGGATGTATTTGGTGCATTTTTTAATGCATTAAAATCTGTTCTACCTCAGCCTTTAATGCTTCACATAGTGAAGATAATGATGTTAAAAAAACAGAGGAAGAATTGTCCGGAGGGAGAGAAGAGTAAAATGAAGGATAGAGAAAGTGAGACTAAGTGCAGTTTTTTCAAACCTGTCCAAACCACAGCATATCACTTGCACATCTGCTACAAGAGGTACAGGTATATGCCTCAGGTGTCAGTATAGTATGGTATTGTGTGTGTGTGTGTGTGTGTGTGTGTGTGTGTGTGTGTGTGTGTGTGTGTGGAGTGATAGAGCTATGTAAATGACTCCACAGGAATGCAGCTAGATTTACAATTGAGGTTGTGACTCTTATAATTACACAGCTCCGTCAGATCAGATCACTATCTCAGGTAATTTCATTTTCACTGTGTTTTTTGTGAGCGTGTATATGTGTATGTGTGTGTGTTTCTGTGCACACCACAGACGCTTTAAACATTTGCTGCAGAGATGAGACAGAAGAATGGATCTCTGTGTGTGTTACCGTTAACAGCCATGCAGTAACCGAGGGCAACCGCAGAGCAGCTTTGTCATTATGGTGCTGGTGATTTATGCCAGTCGCTTTAGAGATCTTATTAAGTGTCACTCACAGTCACACCTCTCTGTGTCGTCTGCAGCACACTTTCTGCAATATTATCATCTGGTGTCAAACCGACAGAGAATCCCGACTGTAATCTGGCCAATAGCTCATTCACAGCAGTGACAGTTTCTAATGCAAAAATGCTTTAGGTGTGCAGATGCAGGTGATATTTTCTTCTCCATTTGAATACAAAGCACAATATACAAGGTGTGATTTATTACTGAAACTGATGAAGATTTGTACATTTGCCAAATGGTAATTACAGGTAGTTGAACGCAAACTATTGTCTGTAACTTCAGTAACCATTGCACAGAATACTCATGGTAATCCCAGGTCATTAAATACAGATGCCTTTGGTTGCCAAAGTGTCAGTGTTTGACGACCTGGGAATGCAATTCAACAATCAACTATCTTTCTCTAGAATGACTGACCCCACCTTTAAGTGAGAATAGTATCTGTTCAGCTTGATCCAAAGTCAGTAGGACAGCATACCGCAAATACAGTCCATATATTATCCAAACATCCCCATCTTCACCATTGTGTGTGGTTTTCCATCATATTATTGACACAATTGCTATAATCTTATAAAAAAGAAATTTCAACAGATGTTTTGTTGCTGTTGTAAGACTGTCTCCTGCAAATAACAAATAGATGCATACGGACAACTTTCCGGTCTCTTTCGGCTTTTAACTGCTGTTGCTTTACCGTAGATGTGAGACAGCTGATGGGGGAAACAACATGGATTCTTCCTTTTAAGGCACCAATCATTACAGAGCATATTCCATTAATAATTGATCTTTCCATTACATCTTGCATAGTCATAGTCATGGAAATTGGCTCATGTGGTCCCTTTGCATTTTCCGTGGAGATTACAGTGACCTTAATAATTATCGCCCAATTTCCAAGCTGTCCTACCTGTCATTTATCTTGGAATTGCTAATCAATAACAGCTGAAGGCATTTCTCTTTGAGCACTCCATGTCCATCAGCTTTAGAGTCCCACCTAGCCCGGCCTTAGGTCTTATTTTAGTAGCAAATGATTTTATTAAATACATTTAATACAGTTGATTATTCTTTACTTTTACACAGTTCTTTTAATTTTCAATTTCACAGTCAGAATGGTTGATTCTAAATAGTTTCAGAGCTATTTATGACATTTACGTCTGTGTGTTAAGGTAGGGACAGCCCATTTGGAATACTTTACATTTATGGTCTGTGCTGTTCACCACTCATGTAAATTACATTTCTTTCCTGCTTGATTGTCAAATACATCTTTATGCGGATGATACACTATTATACTGTGTTGCTGATTCTGTTCAAGTTGCACAAAGAAATTATAACTCCACCTAAAATAACTGCAAGATATTAATTACACCTAAAAGTATGTTATGCAAATACAACACAATTCATACTTTACTTAAAATCCAGAAATGCATATTTATATATATATATATTTGTAATTTGTGTATCTGTCACAATGAAAAATGTACCTTTAAATATCATGTAAAAAAAAACCTTTGCAAGCTACAACAACAGCCTGGCTTTCTGCACAGAAACACTTTCCCTATGAGCTGTAGGAAAAGTATTGTAGAAGTGGTTTTTCTCATTTCCTGATTATGGGAATGTAATTTATAGACATGGTTCCACCTTTAGGCCCTTAGAGTCAGTTCATTGAGCTCTTGGATTCATTACTGGAGATAATTACAATACCCACCACTGCATTTTTCATGATTAGGCTGGTTGGTCTTTCTTTACTAACAGACACAATAAGCCTTGGTGTTTATTTATCTACAAATGTCTTGTTGGAAAATTGGCATCTCATATGAATCTTTTAAGGCTCTGAAAGAAATTACTGATTTATTGCCGGTGCACTGGTTGGATTTTTGAGTGGAAGATCAACCAGATAAAGTGAAACTTGTTTCATACAAACACTTTATTCCCCTCTGTAACTTCAAAGCACACATAATAATGGCCTCGTAGCTGCCATGTAATGATTCTATGTCTTCTTTTTTTTTTGTTTATTTCTGGTTTTGTGGTAGAAGTACAACTATGCTCAGACTAAATAAAGGACCAATCAATTGCCTGTCACGTTGACACTCTTGCATGTGTACTGGATTCATTGGGTGTGTGGTGTTCACAATGATCCCCAAAAACTTTGCAGGAGTCTAAGGAATCTTGGGGTTTCCCCCTGGGCCACAGTCTGTGGTTTTTAATTCAACTTTTTTTCATCCTTCCTCCTCACCCTTCTCCTTCGCTGACTTTTTTTTCCTCCTTTCCTCTCATATTCTGGTCTTGACTTGGATTTTATAAATCAGATAGGGGGGGTTGCCGAACCTTTCATCACACGTGTTGCATTTACATCCTATCCCAATATCCTGTTATTACTCTATAAAGGATTCTCAACCAATCTGTTTTGCACATGTTGGTACATGTACCATCATATCCTGTTTTTGTCAGCCATACCGTCTCATCCAGACATACAGTAAAAGCAGATTTCAATTCTTACAGAGATTAGATGGGATGCACCCATGATCTTTTTCTCTTATGTGGTGCATCTTTGTAATCAGCATAAGCAGTTTCCATGATGATCGCGTTTGAAATGTTCCTTTTGTTTTTGTAGCTGTACAAAAGAGATCCACAAGATATGATCTGTCTCATGAAGTAAGATTAGTGGGTTAGCCAGCTAATTTTAGAATCAACCCAGGCTTTCTGGATTTATAAGGCTTGTTCACTTTGTTATATACAGCATAGCTAACTTCCTCTAGAGTTTGTTAATATCAAAGGATTTGAGAAAATGTGTAAATGGCCCACCCACTAAGAAATCAACTCACTGATTCAACTTATACACAGTATAAGATGATAGAAAGGTGATGATACTCAGATATATCTTTCACAGTAATTCCCTCAATGGTTTTTATCAGTGTAGCCTATTGCACGCTTGTCAAGCACTTCAGAATATGAGGCGAATAGAAAGCCTTTTCAAGCGTAATGTTTTGAGCCTTCACACATAGCAGCGGGAGCTTCACCATAGGCTACAACATATCAGATAGGCACCTCCTCACAAATGTCACTATGGTCTCATATTGAGTACAGAAACAATGTGGACCTTCCCACCATGGGTCGTATCACACAGTAAATGGAAGAATGTAAACACAGTTACTTTGGGACGTATATTGAAAGCACAATATGGCCTCATGACATACAGTACATCTATCTAGCATTGCATATCTGATGCTGAACTATAATTCAAAACCTGGATGACAGATACCTATGGCCAGACATTAACCCCTTATGTCAACCATAAATCCAGCTTTAAAAAAATGTTAATAGCATCTGTACACTCAAAGGTAGCTCCTGCTGTTTTATGTGCACAGTCACACAGACCTTAATCAATTGCTGTTTTCCTGTAGCCATTATGTTTAATCATTTACAATGCAGCTTTTCTCCAGTAATCCTCTCTGCACTGGCAGCAGAAACACCATGATGCATCTCATCATGAAACATAAGAGAAATACTGGTAGTAATTATTTTTCCCTATACCCACTCTGGCTACTGAATGTGTTAAAAATGTCAGCAATATAATGTTTAATTTATTTTATGTTTCTATTGATTACATTTATTATAGTTGTGTGCTGTGTTCCTTTTCTCCACTGCATCATATTATTTTTGCCTCTCTAATGACCTAATTTTCCCATGAGGATCTGTAGTCTCATCTTTTAAATTAAACATGCAGCTCTTGATCTGTTGATGTTATGTGCGATTGGCTGCATATTTAATATGAACTTGCCCAAAGCTGCATTGGAAGATGTATCTCAGAGAGACAGCTCATAAGGACTTCTGAGAGAGATATCATGGATCGCCAATGCAGGCATAATGAAGGCAAAACACAAAAAGAGTTGAGTTGAATATCAGGACACCAAAACTTTGACTTGATTAAGACCTTTAACATTAGATATGACCTTTTATCAGGAAAGATTTATGTATGAAAACACAATCTGTGTGAGAATAAAACAAAGATTTGAGAGATTAATTAGAGACTTTATGCATCAGACGAAAGATTCTAGTGGAATCTGACTCTAGACCAGCAGGGTTAGCATGGCTCCAGAGGCTGGGGTCTTCACCACCACACCATCTCTTGGCACTAGTCAAGTCGGTTTTTTTTCGATTCGTTTGACATCGACCATGCATCTGCTCTCTGGTTCCCACAATCCTTTTCCCTTGTTGCTATGGCCAGAGCGTGTTTGTGTTTTCGAGGGTGTGGACTCGGCGGTTACTGAGTTGGTGGCTGATTGTATTAGCTAGCAGAGCTGGTTTGGAACTTGGAGACTTGGAAAAACATGACTCATGAACTGTTGTTTCTTCTCTTTTGCTTTTCTCTCACTTCATCTTCCTTTTGATCCACCCACTGCAACCCCCCACACAGACAAAATGATGTGATACTTGCTTACAGCCACTACAGAAAGAAACATCATCATGCAAAATGATCATGGATCGAATTCACTGATGATGTTCATGTGCCACATTCAGGCCATTTTAACCAATTTGTCATTTAAATAAGTTCAGTATAAAGTTCTTATGTGCACATATCTGCAAAAAAACTTGCTATTCCGAGTAGGTAGAGTGGAGGAAACCATTCCGACAAAGCAGAGAGAAGAAGTCCTATTCACAGCTGGTAACCGGCCAAATTACATTTAGTCTAAAAAACCCCATAGCTTATGGAATAGAATATCTCATATATCTCCCTGTAGGGAGCTAAAATGTCCTTATAGAAGCAAAATAGACTCGCTGTGCAGATGGGGCTGGAAGTCCAGAAAGAAAGATTATTTAAATTTACACCATTAAAATCCATTAGTAAAATCCAAAGTATAAATACCACATACTGAATACTGCCTTTGAAATAGTACGTACCAAAAAGTCATGTTGTATGGTGGTGTATAGTATGAATATAGTTTCTTTTCTATTAAATATACTCATTCTGAGAAATGACATGGAATTTAATTATTACAGAAACTCGTTATTGTTCTAACAGTAAGTGGTCCTATGATAGGGGTTTAAACTACAGCAGTGCATCATGTTTTATCGGTACATACCTCTTGTATGTTTTGCATGTTAAAGCTCAATTTACAAAATGACCAGCAACTACATGCAGTATAATTTATGCAGTGGAGTAAAAGACACAGTATTTTCCTCTGAAATGCAATGGAGTTAAAGTATAAAGCCTTACCGAAAGTAAATAAAACATTTTTACATTTTACTTGAGGTATTTGGTTAGTTATGGTTTACTGAAAGACTAATTTAACAACCTGTTCTTGATAAAATCTCTATGACTTCAACGTGTGATTAAGATCAGTCTGCCAGAAGATTAACTCATGTCACCATAGCTGAATGTCTCAAGTGACTCTTGAAACTGTGTTTCTTTGTTTTTTTTGCCAGGAGTAAACACATTTTACAATGTGTAAGTGTGCGTGTGTGTGTTCTTGCACATGAAGTGAATCACTACGCCCTGACTGAACACACTAGTATAGTGACTGCGGGAAAACTGGGGCAGGAGAGCAGCACGCACACACTCTTAAAACTGGGACAGAAAGTACTGTATGTCTCTCTCTTCTGTCTTTCTGTAGTTATGCAGGTCGTGTGGTTGGCAGCACTTTAAAAGCCCAGAGGGAGAACCCAGAGATGACTGTCCGTAATACAGATCCTGTCCTAAAGGGGGCGAAACAGAGGCTGGAGCAGCTAACACAGGTAAACAGACGTGCTCACTTCAAATAAGAAATAGTGGGTGAGGTCAATGTTGGCGCACACCATTCTCACAATTTCTGTTTGTTAACAAACCTTTTAATTACTTCACTTGCTTTCAGAGAGGTTATTTATTATTATAATATTTCATTTTTTCCAACGCTAACAGCAAAGGCCTACAGATAACAATATTGGTTGGCCGGTTCATTCCCATTTATGTATGTAATATCCTGTATATGAATATCTTCCATTAATCAAGCCAGATTTTCCTCTTATAGACAGATAATCTAATGGGCATATTGTGATGGAATTTACAGGATTCTTTCTTTTTTTGTAGCATCATCATCAAGCTAAAATGACAACATTGCATCAGCATAAACCCTGTAACATATCCCATAGTCTTATAGGCAGTCCAGCATGGACATGTCTAACAAGGACATCCACATATAGCATCAGATAATCCTCCTCCCTGGGCTCACACAGTGAAGTCAGTGTTTGTTAAAAGAATCAACTCCCTCCAACATCTATAAACAGCAGTAATTAGCTGTAGCTGTATTTTATCATCCTAGATAAATAATTTTTTACTTTGTAAAGTGTGTAACTTTGCACTGTTTTATTACGTTATGCTTATGAACCAAAAAATTGTCATGTTCACTTATACGCAACTGACTCACTGTTGCTAGGGCAGCCTAAGGATTTCTTCTTTGACAATACTTTTGCATTTTATGCTGAAATGGTTAAGGCTGTGACATATCTTTTAATTGGGCTCAGGTATTAATTTATCCAACTATGCAGACTATGCAGTAGCGTAGAGTGTCGACGTAGATTTATAGAAAGGCAGAGTAAGCGACATGATCTGTGGGTGATTTCATAACTCCTCCGTAGAGCATTAATATCTTATGTATTCACCTTGGCCATGACACCATGATGTATAAAGGTGGTCAGCATTCTGCAGGAATGTTGCTACCTGCCCGTAATGGATGGAATTATTCATATTCATACTTAAGTAATGATGCTGTTGTTAGTTTGATCTTTGGCTATTATTACTATGGTGAATTATTAGGTTCAACCTCTTGGTTTGAAGTGTAATGAAGGTGTGATACACAGTTGCTAGAGCTAGCTGCAGGGCCCTGGATTGTGTGTATATGTGTGTTTGTGTGTGTTTGTGTGCACGTCCTCATCTGGCTCTCAATCATCTGTTATCACCTCGTGTGTGAAGCACTGCTTAATCCAATAAATTTAAATGTCAGCACTCTAAAGAGATGTAGATAATAACATGCAATAATAAATGTATTAATTCAACAATTAAACTGGATTTATGCAGCACTTTCAACACTCTGGACAGCATGGTAATATGTTGATATGATCTGCATGGATGATTCATAAAACCATATAAATATGATGCCATAAATGATACATCAAGGTTATTTATAATGATGATTCATTGTTTGTGCCCAAGACCATGTGGCTGTGTTTGAGACACTTCAGAAACTGTCAAACGAGCTGATAGACAGACAGGAAGCCAGAAAAGTAAACTCAGAGAAAGACCAAACAAACAAGCAAGGAAGCAGCATAGAAACATCGAGTTTGTCAGCTGTTAAAGAATAAGGCTGGCAATATTTAATATATCTTTGTTATCGTAAACAAATCCCATGAAAACACCAAAAACATCAGTCCAGCTCTCGTTACATTCCCAGCCTGTCTGTGACACTTAATGTGTCATGATAATTTACTGTGAATATTTAGTGCGGAATCATAAGGTCAAGACTAGAAATTGTAGTTTGTTAAGGAAACCTGATGAATTCTGTTATCATGAGAGTTGTTGGTAGCTATAGAATATTCATGGAGAATCATGGGATGGTACATGCTAAGGTTTATTTTTCTCTTTTTGCTGTTGAAGCTTTTTCTGTGGTCCGTCTGATTTTGGTGGTGAGTCCATTAATCATGTTGCATTTACATAGAAGAAATGCCAAGTCAGCAGCCCCCTCTGCCATATACGCAAACACACACCACACGCACCATGTAATCATGTTTGAAATCTACTTTCTCAGGCCTATTAATTCTATGTAACCCTTACATTTCCCGTTAGTCTATGATTTAAAGAACACTGATTCTTCTAACATGAACACATGCACACCAACACACACTCAAACACTGTGTTAGATCAGTGGTTTAGACTTGTAAAACGTGTCCGATAGATGGATGGGGGTAAATGCTAACAGGCCACAACATGAACCAAAGCCAAAAGTCAGATATAACGCAGCTCATCTGCATTGCAAACTATTTTCACTTTCAAAGGGTGTGCAGTCTTTCCATCTTTTTGATATATTGAGAGAAGGCAAGTCTGTGCACACAAACAAACCCTGTGTGTAGGTGAACACAGTGAGCTGTTCTTGTCCTTTGAACAAGTTTAGAGTCACCTTTGGAAATCCATGGCCTGGGTTGTGCTTCTTTCATGCTAGCTGCCTGAGTGCTTACTCTGTGGGGGAAGCCATTTATCTGAAGCACACATTAATGCACGCCATGTATGAATAATTATTCATGCCTGTCATGTGTGCCATTTACACACTTGCACAGCCAGGATGAGAGGAGGAACAAAATATGAAGCAGGACAAAGAAGCATCCTTGGAATTTTAATTATTCCATCAGCCATCTTTTGGAGGTTTGTCTTTCTTTCAGTCTCTTCTTATCTTTCACTGTCCCAATTTTGTATTACGTGTTAATTAGACCTTCACAGCAGTGGATTGTGTTTCATGCAAGCTTTGCTCTGTAATGGGATTCTATTAGTGTAGCCACTTGCTTCTCCTCGCAATTAAGCTTTTTATGTACATGTTCAGCCAATCAGGATGAGCCTAATCAGCCTTGTGAGGGCTGCCCCTGTATAGGAAAAGGGCAATGGTCCCACCACTCCTTCTACATTCATCCACTTTTCTTCTTAAGTGATAGCAGATGGCAACACTGCCAAGGATGGCTTTATTAGAAGAGAGTTTCAAATTCTACTCTTCCTACTATGTCTTAGTCTCACCCAGAATCCCCGGGAATAACATTCATACTGCTGAGTGGAAACCAACCTGCAGGTTAACTTGGCTTTAGTTAAAGGAATTGTTGACATTTTGGGGAAAATGCTTATTTGCTTTCTTTGTTAAGAGTTAGATGAGATGTTAGATACACTACTTTATCCGTCTTGCGATGTCTGGAAGCCAATTAACTTAGCTTAGCACAAGACTAAAAACAGGGTGTAACAGCTACTGTGGGTCTGTCCTAAGGTAACAGAATACACTTACCAGCACTTCACAAATATACACATGTCAGGGAATAAGGTTTTACAAGGAGGGTAATGTCAAAGTCTGGCTGCCTGGCAACCTCAGGGCGATGGCAAGACTCCAGGAAGTCACTTAAGACTGTAGCTACTATGCATTGAAAAAAAATTACGGAGCAAACAGAATTTAAGGGCATTCAGTTTTACGTGGTCTACAATTTTGTAGAACTGCTCAATATCAACATTTTCCCTGGGATAGGGTTGCTTGGTGAGCAGTATCAGGCAATCCCTATGGTGCTTTATAGAGACTTCATCCTGATTAGCTCCATATTACTTTGTGCAATAGCTACACCAGTGTAGTGCGGTATAACTAGTGATATGTTTCTGTTTATCTTTGACTTTTCGCTAACAGCAAACTACATAATTCTTAGTGTTGGCTGTTGTGCTCCATTTAATTGGTAAATGTACTGCCCACCATTCATTAATTATCTTGTTTACTTTTAGAGAATAGCTTAACCAAGCAATGGTACCTTACCAATTGTTCATTGTTGGATAGCTGAAATGATAAGTAATATTATAGTTACCATTCCACCACTCATTATTTTGAATTAACATAGTCCCATCTCTTTTGTATTTTAGTAATATGCAAACAAAGACAAAACAAGACCAAAAATTCTCACCTTTCATTTATGAGATAGAACAGACTGCTGTAGAGCTGCCACCCTTGAAAGATTTATTTCTAGGCCTATTGGTTTTGCTGGAGAGTTTCAGAGCCACACAACCCAAATTCAGTTTAAATTCTAGCTTCCCACATGACTAAGAAAACACAGTCCTGGTGGAAACATTGCTGTAATGTTTTTTTGTCCTCCCTCAACCCTCATTTGCAGTCTGATGACATGATGGTGAATCACACACACACACACAGAGACTCAAGTCTGTCTCCATGTCCCTTCGGACATGCTGTCATATAATAACCTTGGTTCCCCTTGATTCCACGGCTGCCCCACACCTACTGTACAGTGGATGCCAGATGTCCCTCCTTATGTATTTAACCTGCTTTCATCTATCAGGGAAACTCATCCTAAAACATAGGTATACAATAAAACCAATTGCTTTTTTAAAACAGTTGAAAATATCAATTATAAATATACCTACCTAGTAATTGTGTAGATTTCAAATATCATGAGCATATAATAAGTCAGGTTACAGCCCTGTTTGTTAGGCACACATATGTTTGTCTGTTTACATGACATGTATGTATAGTGAACTACAATTATGTATAGGTCTACTGCTGCACATTTTCAGGGTCACACTGAAGAAAAATGTATACTATTTGCATACTTAGTCAGTATGTGTGTATCAGCACCACAATATATAGTAACAGCTTACTATATCTTCTTGTGTTAAATGGATTACATTTGCAAAGCAGAGTTAAGCCATCTTTAAATACTGGAAAGTAGAATGGATTTTGGCTGTCTAGCAACAGGCAACTTAGGCGGGGAAGCAATTTTATAACTACACTTACCCTGCATGACAATGAAGTTCTAAAAAATGTTTGTAATTATAAAATCCAAAACAGTTGACTCTCGGTTTGGCCTTTATAGTATTTAATTTGCCGGACGGATTTCACCAGTGTAAGGTAATATAAATCATTACGATAGATGTTACAATCTTGTTGGCATCAGCTGTGCTGAATATATGGAAATGTTATCTTAGGGGAAAATAAAATAGAATAAAATGTCACCACAATATATCTCTTTCCTTTATAAAACTGGTGGCCGTTTGCCTTATCTCTGTTTTCAGCTGGAATTCATATATTACCTACCTTGACTCTCTACAATACACATTCATCATACTGTGAACCAATTATATGTCCCTGTCGCTGTGTGTGTGTGAAAACCTAATAACTCCAATTTTGGTGTTTTCTAGTTTCTTACTTGTTTCCTACTTGGACATAAAGTTTGTGTTGTGCCTTATGATTTAATCAAATTCTTCATCCATTGATTGGAGAAGTCAAAACCCAATATTTGACTAAAGACTGGGTGTTTTTTCAATTCCTCATTAGTTGATCTTTAGGAGACATGAGGTTTACACCCGGTGTCACAATTATGTAACATGCCACAGCATCCACACTGTGACTTCACTGAGTGGTAGAGTATATGGATTCATGCAGAGTCAGCATGACCTCAATTACCCTATAGCCTGCTCTCTGACCTGTGTGTGTGTGTGTGTATTTTCTTTTTCTTGTTTTTGTACATGTTCCTGTGCTTGTTCAAATATGTTTTTGTGGGCCATTTGGTGCATTTAGAGAGAAAAACATCCTTTTTTGTTTAATCTTTGGCATTTATGTGATTGCTCTGGTGATCATTTAAGTATTATCAGAGCATGCAATATATTGCCGACCTTTGACCTACTATAGGCGTTTTGTAATGTATGTGATTTGCAATTTGAAACGTATTCTCCTTTGTACTCCCTGTAAATTCTCAGGTCGACCAAATAGCTAAAAAAAGGTCTATAGCCACACTAGCAGCTCTGTGAAGCTGCTCTTAGGCATTGTGGTGCTTTGAGCTAAAATGCTAACATCAGCATGCAACATGCTCACAGTCTCATGTTGATGTGATATACCATGTCCACCATCTCAGTTAAGCCATTTAGCATGGTAATATTTGCTAATCAGCACTAAACACAAGTCTGAGTCTGATGGGGATGTCATTAGTTTTGCAATCATTTAGTAATAAACCAACGTATTAGACAAATTGCAATTTTTGACCGGATGATGATGCTAGATGAGAAGGATTACCAAAGTGATTACAGTTTATTCTGTTGGGGGGCTTGAAATATTATTGGAAGGCAATCCTTCCAATAGTTGAGAGATTTTAGTGAAAACCACATGCCAACTTCATGGGGGCACTAGAGAAAAAGTCAGGGAATCACCATAGTCTGTGAGTTTGGTCATCTGGGGACCATGAATGTCTGCACAAACTTTCATCACCATCCATCCTACAGTTCCTGAGATAGTTCAGACAAACTGACCAACATGACCATCCATAGAGCCATGCCGCTAGTTAAAATAATGTAAATGTGTTTTATTTGTTGTGTGTGTAATGTGTTTGGACATTTGTACATGTGCGTGTTTTATTTAGGAGCTATTAGTGGAGCTCGGCTGGGCGAGCAAAGCCCGAGGAAAGGTAGAGGACGAGGAGGGAGGGAGCGCACAGACAGAGGGAGGCAGTGGAGACGACTGTGACGATGAAGACGGCTGTGAAGCATCTGGTGAGGAGAAAGGTGAGTCATAGACACACGCACATGCAGACAAGCTTACATGCAAAAAATAGAGGAACAAACATGCACCCACACATATACACACATGAACTGATGCAAACTTTTGTTTTGTGGTTGTACAAATATAGGGCTTCTGACTCATGCATAACACATCAGCATCTATATCTATCTATATATATATATATATGTGTGTGTGTGTGTGTGTGTGTGTGCCTATTGTAAATAAAACCCGACACACACACATACAGTTCATTGGCATGGTGGAGGTTTTAAAATGCTGCAGCCTCCACATATCTTGTGCCAGCAGGGAAATGCCCAGAGGGAGGGATAGTACTGAGCGATGGATTCAACTGTCCTCCCTCTCCCTTTCTCTCTCTTCTTCTCTTTCTCTCTGGCTTCCTCCATCTCTCTTTCTGCTGGTCTCAGCAGTTTATTTCCTTCTTGGACAGGATTAAGGATGCACTAACAACCAGGTCACCCCAAAAACAGAAATGGAAAAATAAACTGTAATTATTCATTTATCTCTTGACTTATTCATCATGCTTATGCTTATAAATAATACATGGGTGCCACATGGAGATCTGGGGACCCCTAGGAGGCTTGATGGAATCCCACTGAGTGAATGTAGTTAAAATTAGCTATTAATTAAATTGGTGGGCAGTTGCAATGGCGGTGGTGGAGTTTAAAAAAAATTAATAAATCTATGTATTGTAGAAGTTTGTAAAAGTATTTCTGTATGAATGTAAAGACTCTAAAGCAACAATCAAAGTGAAAAAGTTAAACACTCAAAAACAAATTAGCTTCACATGACATACCCCCCAAAAAATACAGAGGAAATGACATCAGTGTCCACAATCATCCCCTCTCTCTCCCCTAGTTTAATCAGACTCAGCAGCTTGTTTCCAAGATTATTTTAGGTACTGTAGCAACCTTCTTTCAAAATATTCTGTTCCCACATCATAAGACCAAACAGGTTGAGTATTTTTTCACACCAATGCAATCTCCAACCAAGCGCCTGACGGACAAACAGTCCTCAAAGGCTGCTGCAGCTGACATACTGTCCATGTCTATCTTTAGCTGGAAAAACGCATATGTTGATTAACTTGTCAACAACGAGAAGACCCCGGCCACCTTTATGGTGACGGAATTTTCCATGACACCCAAAACCTCCAACCTTTGTTGCAAATGTTCTTGCTTTATGGGATTGATTATTATAATTTACTAAACCAAGGCTCGTTCTTCTGCATCATCACCATGTTACCCATGACCCACGAGGTTACATGTGATATTACTGGGTGGTGGGATCTCTGCCCCTGAGGGCAGGACGTAATAGGTTCAAAGGCCATTGTCACATTAATTATCCCTGCGCTGTTCTCGTCATTACTGGAGTCATGAGTGTGTATCCATACAGTGACGTAGGACGCTGTATGGCTGTTAGTCCTTTGTGATACTGAACTGTAGCTCAGTGGTTCCCAACCCCCAGGCTGCAGACTGCTACCAAGCCAAGACGAAAAAATATGATTGGACAAAATAAAGCTAGAATTTGTTAGGCTATTGGTGTCATTGTAGAAGTAACTTGAACTTTATTTTTTCCTTGTTAAACCTACGTATAGATACTGTTTTAAAATCAAAGTAGGTCATCAGTATGCAGAGTAATCAGTCCTCCTTTAGCAACTCAGTCTGCATGTGGCTGATACCAGACTCGAGCCTGAGGGGTCCCGACAAAGTTTTCAGGTTTCAGGTGTTTTGTTGTGCGAAGCCTTGCCTTGGTTTGAGTTTTGTTATTTTCAAATGTAATTTGTTAATATTGAAAGTCTTTGATTTAGCCAGTCCATTCACTAATTTGTTTGATTATCGTTTTATCTCCTTTTCTACGAAGCAACAAAAAAACCTTGAGAGAGAGAATTTGAGTGAGCTTGAGAGGTGCAGGAAAGATAGATAGAAGATAAAAGGCCACAAAACACATGTGTTATAATATCCTAAAGGGTTCTATATGTGCTTAACAATGATTCCAGTCATTGCCTAGCACAACCTTGTCAAATGGTCCACAAAAACCGCGTGATTATAAAAATGTCTGGTTTGAAAAAGGTTGGAAACCTCTGCTGTAGGTATCTACTGGTAAAGATTGCCATTGAAGTTAAGGGATTTGATGTAGCAGTGGGCTGACGGAAACAAACTAATCTTACAATAAGTATCCAAGTGTCATCTCTATATCAAAGTTATGACATTTACTAAAGTATCCAAAATAATTGAGTCAAATGAGGGGCTTTTGTGTTTGTGTGTGTGTTTTAAGAGAACAAAACTGTGTTTAAGATCTCACGCTGTAAACCTTGAGTTAACTTCATTTAGAAAACTGTAAACCACAATGTTTCAATGCAAATGACAGGAGGTAATAGTCAGGATTACAACATGTAAACACTGTTGACATAGTAGTTGTGAATTGAAGACTGCGTTCATGACAAAATCAAACATTTATGCCTCCTTAAATGTTTGTTTTCTCATACTGCATCACCCCGTTATTTAATAGCTCTAAAAGTAAGGTATGTGTTTGTAAGTTTGTCATACCCTTTAGACTAACCTTGATGCGTCAGATCTGTGGAAACTTGTGCCTCCCGCTGGGCCCGAAACTGGTACATTGGCTATTTGCAGAGAAAATTGCTGGTTATGATTTACCGAGCTGGTGGCAGCATGTGGGGATCGTGTATCTCAAGCCACAATGAATTCCTGGAGAAAGAATCACAATAAGTGACAAAAGGGGATTTTCTGCATTGCTCCCCCCCCCCTTCGGCATCTCCATGCATATAAACAAGCCTAACGCGCACTGAAGCTGAAAGAATGATGCAGTATCAACCAGTCCACACAAATCACACAGGGTCATTGTTTTTAGAAATATTTGCACTTTGTATTCCTGTACTATACATTAAATCAGTAGTTTTGAGTTAATGTATGAATAAAACACCATCAAATGAATAAATGCAGGCCGATCTGATTTTTTTCTGAGTAGATCTGCTACTAAATCTGCCTGTCCACGCTCTCTGACTCTCTCTCTCTCTTTAAAATTCAGCCTACAAACTACTTCTCTAAAACTGAATCACTGAAATGTGGAGATTATTATTTTGGAAAAGGAAGCGCATTGAAACAAAATTGTGCTTGCGTGAGAAATGAGAACGTTTACGAGTGTGTCGATGTGTGTTCACAAATTAATGTTTATGGCCTCTTGTTTATTCTTGCGTGCTCGACATGTGCTTTACGTGTAAGATGTAAGATGTGTGTGTGTATGCAGGCGGTACATCTGTTGCTGCAGTGTCTTTGCATGTAATCCGGTATGTTTTATGGATGGCTCAGTTCTCTGTCTGATTGGCTGAAACGGATCCAGTAGCGCGCTGCTTCTGTACTTATAATGTCTTTCTCAATATCAACCAGTTGTTTTCTTTAACACACACACACACATGATTGAGCTTACGTTCTCTCCCTCTCTATTCTTGGACTGCAGATATGAACAGGGATGAAGAAAATTAAGAATTCTTCCTGTCTTGTAATTAATTCTCATGACAATTCTCATTTGTTGAATACTGAGGAGGGACAAGAGCAGTGGAGGATAAGAGATGAAGGTGGTGTGATATAAACCAGGAGCTGAAATCAAACCTCAAAACTTCAACACCTCAATGCCAAGCATGTGTTTTATTTATGTGAGCCACTTAACAGTGAGAAGCTATTTTAGTCATGCTGAGACAGTACGCAGGCTATTATTATTTGATTTAAGTCAATTTACAAGTTGATCTTAGCCAGAATCACTTGGCAAACATTGTTCATTGTACAGATCAAAAGCAAACGAAAGAGGCAGGCGCCTCAACATATGAGCAGTTAAAGCCGAGCGCTTATCTTAGCGCTGTTTGGCTATTTTATAAAGGTTTTTTTTTATATATAAGTAGACAGTGAAGTCCAGCCAGAAACGCTGATGTAGTTTTTTTTTCTCTTACTTTGACTAGCTGTTTTGAAACCGATGTTATACTGACAATTAGAATATCTATAGCTAACTGCTAATAACAATAAAAGAAAGAAGAATAGTAAAAAGAGAAGAAAAGAGAAACCACACAAATGCATGTTATAGATGCTGCTGAACATTTGCAGGGGAGGTTTTTTCTTCTCTTGTTACTCTTCTCCTTTCTTCGTCATCTCTCATACTCCCCACCCCTTGAATTCACTGAGATTAAACTCATTGATTTTTTTCCTCTTCAACCCAGTACAATCCCTTTCTCAACTGCCCCTTCTACGATCTCTCTGTCTCCCCAGACATATCCAGGTCCTATAATGTCAATAATGTAAATGTAATCACAGTTTCTCTTCTCTTCTCTTCTCTTCTCTTCTCTTCTATTCTCTTCTCTCTTCTGAGTAACAAATGAAATGCTGTGTCACCATAATTGCTATGCTTTAAACTGTGATGTGGTGGTGGATGCAGAGATGAGGGTGCTTTACCTCCAGGTATCCATGAGTCACATTACAACCACTAATGTCAGTTTAGTCTGGAAAGCACCGATCCTTTTCCCTTAAAAGACCTAACTTTCATAGTTTGAAGGTGCTTGCAAAATCCCTATTATGGGTAAATGTCTTACACATTCCTGTTGTCTGTTCTGCAAATACAAACACGGATAAACAAATTGTAGGCAGGTTTGTCTTACAAACAATACATTCAGCAGCTCTTTGTATCTTGTATCACAAGATGTGTTTGTGTGAGTGTGTAAGAGAATGCGTGAATGTGTACTCACGAGGGACACTCAATCCCTGTAACCATGGTTACCAGGTGGTCCGTGGTCTTCCCACGGGTCCTTATTTGATGACAATGAAGAAAGAGAAAGAGAGAGAGGGAGGGAGAGAGACACAGAGGAAGAGATAGAGAAAGAGAGGAGGTGTGGCAGATTTTGTCTCTTTTGGCCAAGTACATAATGTATTGTAATGTACCTCCTTTGTGTAATACCTTGGAATCTCATTAACCATAATTTGCA